GTGACTAAGCTTACTTCTGTCAGGTTACTCATTTCGAGACTATACGTAGGTGTATTGTAAGTGCTAACCCTATTGTATGTATGCCCTTAGTTAATTGCAAGCTATGACTTTTAATGCAACCAAAATAGTTGGAGTAGTAGTTTTAATTTTCTAGTTCTTCAAAGTATATATTTTTTACAACAGAAATGCTACAAAAACCATTGAATAATATTTGTACCTACTCCAACTACAAAATATTTCATGTAATGTACATGTTATATATGATTGACTAATTATTCAGCTATACATAATACACTATATAAATCAATATTTTTAGAGCAATTAAGAACGCAATAATGGATAGCTGGTTCTTCTCTACTTCAATTCGTTTTTCTTAGCTTGATGCTCAATAAAGTGGTTGATATAGATAGTAGATTTACAAATATATCTTAAAGTGTGAAATTTTATTCAATTATTATTTTTATTTGGTTTCTTTTTAAAGTTTTATATATTAGGTTAAAAGGTGAATATTGAAAAATGATGATCCCATATGTATGATGATGATAATATTATTCTTGGTGATGATGATCAAGTAGATGCATTTTTTATATCACGAGGTTAAGAGTTTCACATTCTTGTATTTGCAACAATCTCTTTGAAACAATTACACGGAATGAGGTCAATTCATACTGGCAAATTATGCCCTGGACCCGTGTCCACAATGAATTGTGGACACGGGCCCAAAACGACGTCGTTTTTTAAAAAAAAAAACGCGTCATTTAGTTATAAAAAAAAAAAAAAAAAAAAAAATCGCGCGCGTTTTGCCGTTAACGGCGTTATTTTTTTTTTTTTGAATTATGAATGTACAGTTATACCGTTATGAATGTACAGTTATGCCATTATGAATGTACAGTTATGCAATTATGAAATTATGAACACAGAGCTCTAACATTATGAACTTACAATTATGAACATATAGTGATAAAATTATGACCATGGAGTTTTAAAATTGTGAATATAGAGCTTCGAAGATTATGAATGTACAGTTATGGAGTTATGAATGTACAGTTATAGAGTTATGAATCTACAATTATGAGATTATGAATCTACAGTTATGGAATTATGAATGTACAGTTATTGATCGAATTATGAACAAAGAGCTTTGACATTATGAACATATAGTGATAAAATTATGAACATAGAGCTCTAAAATTGTGAACATAAAGCTTCGAAAATTATGAATGTACAATTATGGAGTTATGAATGTACAGTTATGGAGTTATGAATGTACAGTTATAGAGTTATGAACGTACAGTTATTAACATATAGTAATAAAATTATGAACATATACTCCTATAACGAAGCGGTCTGAAATTTAAAAAAAAAAAAAAAAAAAAAAAAAGATAACAGTTAGGCACTGTTACCCGTGTCCAGCATGCATGCTGGAGACGGTCCAACGCATAACGATTGATTCATACTTGATTGGATTAGTAGGTCATCCGTAGGCTTAGTTTAGACTGGGTTTGTTTCATTCAACGAAATGTGAATATTAATACAATGTAATACCCAAAAATCAAATTGGTGAAAAAAAACAATAATAGTATTTTTTATTTTTTTTTAGTGATGAGAGAAGTCTGCAGCCATGATAATATACACCGAGAAAATTCCAACTTGTTATATTTGTTAGCACAGGCTCACAATGAGATAAACAAGTCTTGATTAGCCTTACGGGCAAATTATGTTGTGGACTCGTGTACATTATGCATTGTGGACACGAGTCCAAAACGACATTGTTTTCAGGGAAAACAACGGCATTCCAATAAAAAAAAAAAAAATTGATTTTGTCTCGTCGTTAAGGCGTTAACGGTGTAATTCATTTGTGGAATTATGAATGTACAGTTATGGAGTTATGAATGTACAGTTATGGAATTATGAACACAGAGCTCTGACATTATAAACTTACAATTATGAACATATAGTGATACAATTATGAACATAAAGCTCTAAAATTGTGAACATAAAGCTCTAAAATTGTGAACATAGAGCTTCGAAAATTATGAATGTACAGTTATGAAATTATGAACACAGAGCTCTGACATTATGAACATACAATTATGAACATATAGTGATAAAATTATGAACATAGAGCTCTAAAATTGTGAACATAGAGTATCGAAAATTATGAATTTACAATTATTGAATTATGAATGTAAAGTTACGAAATTATGAATGTACAGTTATGGAATTATAAATGTACAATTATGGAATTATGAACACAGAGCTCTGACATTATGAACTTACAATTATGAACATATAGTGATAAAATTATGAACATATGCTCCTATAACGAAGCGGTATGAAATTTTAAAAAAATTATGAACATAGAGCTCTAAAATTGTGAACATAGAGTTTCGAAAATTATGAATTTACAGTTATTACTATTATTGTTGTTGTTGATGTTGTTGGTGGTGGTGTTGTTATTGTTATTATTACTATTATTATTATTACTAGTTTTTTCTATGCGCGATGCACAAAACATATGCCCAATATTTATATTTTTAAAAATAACTAACAAATTTTTACTAATTAAAATCTATATGAAATCAAATTTATTTATTATATTAATCTAATATATAATGTCTACAAATATTATTATCATTAAAGAATATAAGAAAATATATGATGGATGCATGTGCATGATAACAATAATGGAAAAGATAACGGAAGTTATAACGGTAGGGGTATTTTTGTCCAAAAAATTGTATTGTACAACCCTAAAAGCACAATGTACAAAATGATTTGCACTAAAAACATGGACATAAGTTAGGGATATAACTTTGATTGAGACTTATTATGTTTTTAGATTAGATTATTATTATTATTATTGTTGTTGTTATTATTATTATTATTATCTTTTTCCTTTTTCCTCTTCCTTATGCACACAGATTTGTTGTTATTGTTGTTGTGCAAATGCTATATAGGAATTAGGATAATTGTATTTAATAACATCTGAAAAACTAGAGGAATGGAGAAATAGAAAATTTGAGGAATAACAAGGAAAATTGGAGAAATGGAAAACTGTAGAAATGAAAAAATGAAAAAGAAAAAATAAAAAAATGAAGTAAACGACCCCTTAGAAACTAAACTTACAACTAGTTTACCAATTAAATAATCAAATTTGTAAAACTAAAAGAGATATACTGAATCTATATATGCAAATTTTCCTTTAAAAAACGAGTTCTACTATACAAACTCTCAAATTCTACTCCCTTGCTTGTACTCCCTAAGGTGGCAAACAATGAGTGATTAATTTTCATCATGTGGGTTCACAGAAAATGTCTACATCAAAAACATGTAAGAGGGAGTAAAATTGGGAGTATATAATGGGAGTACACTAAGAGGGCATTTGGTTCAGGTTATATAACATAACCAAGGGAATGTGACATTCCAAAGCTCACATTCCTATGTTTAGTTCATATTATCTTAGGGAATCTAACATTCCCAAGGAATGTCATATTATCTCCACATAAAATTTTGAAGGAAATGTGATTCCCTTCAATTTTTTAGGTTATGTAAGATAACCTTGGTTATGTTATTTTATATATATATATATATATATATATATATATATATATAATTATATAATTTTTATTTTTATTATGTTATGTTAGCATATAAAATAATTTTGTTTCTCAAGTTCAAGATTTTAGTTAATATTTTAAAATCATGTAATTATATATGATACCGTTATCTTATTTATTTAATTAATTTTTAAATTTATTAAAATATATGAAAATATGTTAAGGATATTATAGCGTATATAAAAGATAATCCTAAACCAAACATAATATATTTAACCAAACACATGAATAATCTAACATTCTCTAAGGTAATCTGTGAACCAAACGACCCCTAAGTATTTTCCTTAAAAAACTGAATTGTATTATTCGTACACTTGTCACACCTGATCTGATGTGTCAAAAGAAGAGTGTCTATGTGTCAATAATCACCAATGTCGTCTCGCCACGTCAGTTAAGGCATTGTTGTAGTAGAATTACATCAAAGGATGCCTCTTCATGCATGTTCCTCACTAAGCCCCAACCAACCCTACAAAAACTACAACCTGAAATGGTACAATGGTTTTTGGCACCAGAGTTCTGATTAATCTAGAGGATTTGCACCGCACGAGCTTTAGCTCAATGGTTCAGTAGGCAGGAATCAGCAAAACCCCAAAAACTACATTGTTTTCATAAAGCTTCTACAACTACTGTAACATGTCTAATGAAGATTATGCTATATATGTATGTATATACTCTATATATTACACGACTCCCTCCATCGCCTTCGTTCCCACTCCCACGATGCCAAGTATGCACCTTCCATCCTTTCCCGGGTGGCATGTTATTGTTACTCGCTCTTTGCATACTGCACTGGTATCTGCATCCCGGCCGTGAGATGTTACATGCATGTCCGGCCAGCTTGGGAACTTGGCAGGGCAAAAAAGGAAAGTCTGTAGAGGAAAAGAATTTAGAAAGAATTGGGATTAGTGAACCCCAGCACCAGTGGGGTTCTGGATAGCTGTTAGGACTCAAGAAAATCCATTTGCAATTTTCTGAATTTTCTTCTTGAACTTTGCTACACTGCATTGAGGGCATAGGTATTCTAATCCATCTGTCTTTGCGTAATCCTGCGCGTTAGAATAAGAAGAATGAACCGAACTGTTGTTTCGAAACTGAGAAATTTCTCTTCAGAAGAAACAGGTTTGGTTATTATACCTTGAAGGCCCCGAGACCTGGTCTCCGGTCACAGCCGAAATGGGCCCACTCGCCGCACATCCCGCAATTAACCCAGTCACCAGCAGCGCTACTGTAAGATCGAGAACGAAGCTTTTAGCAAACAGTTAACAGAATTTGTGGATCTACTCGAAACGCATAACAATGATGATATTGACCTGTGACACAACAAGCAGCACTCCCCGTCTACATCATCGTGGGCCAATTCGTATTCCAGAAGGTAAGTTTCGTAATGTCTTTTGAGTGTATTTCCAACACCCTGGGGTTCAAGAAACCATACGAAAAAGCTAACATTAGCTTTTGTGTTGCTGGTTGAATGACATTATATTGCGACATAAAACCTGTCTTTACTTTATGAGTACCATTTTCTTTTTTTTCGTTTTGGAAGCAGATGGAGAGAAGGGAGACATATGGAGCTTACCGTCATTCTGTTTGTCACCGTGTGATTGCGCATTTTCGAGAAAACTTGCCCTTTCCAATTGATGCCATTGCCGACATGAAATCCACCTCTAGAAACCACCTGCACGGTACGATTACAAGAGTTAGAGCTGGTGAAAGAAATGTTTCCGCTCAATGGACAAACTCAAAGTTCCTATTTAGTGACAGGAAAGGAAACCTCACCTCCCTATACAAGTTGAAGAGGTCAAGACGCTTCGCGTTGAGTACTGCATCTGGAAACTCGGGAAGCCCGCCTTGAGGAATAAGACGGGTATGGCCACGAAGTATAAGAAATTGCATCACATCTTTAAGGAATTCTTCCTGCGAGAAGATGGAAGGAAATCGAAAAGAGAAAATAAGCTAACAATGTTGAAAAAGATAAAGACCCTGTTTGGTAAATGGCTGTTAGCTGATAGCTATTTGGGTTAGAGGGTATGACTAGTTGATAACATTAGCCGATTGTACTTTAGACACAACAATTACGCCATTCCTTTTCAAAGTCGCGGTAACAAAAAGTTTGCTTACCTCAGAGCACACGTGTATCGGGCTTCTCTCGCATCCATGTTTCTTCAGAGGAAGGGGATTCAAAGGTATAATTTGCTTAGCCTGTTGTGAGCTTGCCACTGCTTTACGTTGGGTAGCAGCAGCTACTCCAATATTACCGGCCGCCTTAGTTGATGGAACAACCGGCAAATTAGCTTTAACCTGGTTTCCATCGTGTCCCTCCACCTCCGAGATCCCAGAAAACGGGAACATTTTTCGGTGACGAACATGAGGGATGGGCTTAAGTGCCGCAGCTTTCAGTTTTCGTCTAGCAGGCACCAAAGGCATTGCATACCCATTTTCCTCTTCTCTTCTAATATACGCTCGATATCCAGAATTCAAACCATTTCGGGAGCTCAAATCAGTTTCATAGCTCATACGAGATCTCTTTCTGCTAGGAGCGGGAGGTCTTAACCAGGCTGGGGGGCTGGTGATCTTAACATTGTTTGAATTCCCATCCTTCCCGTGCATTTTGCAGAAGAAAAGAAGTCTTTCCGCATCTTCTTTCTCAAACGAAGCTACGGCTAATCCCTGGATGCTGGCAATACCAAGCGCCACAAAACTACGAAACGAAAAATCGGATGCTAGCTGCCTCAAAACCTAGAAAAGGTAATACCACAACGAGAAGCAAGTTAATAGATGTGGCCACAGATCCATACTCCAAACGTAGATAAAACCATGGTTGCAGTAGGCGCTAGTCAGGCGGTACAGTGGCGCCTATGCGGCTTACTAAAAAAGAAAAAAACAGTGCACGTGTGTGGGTGTATATATGTCATGTTACACACACACACACACACACACACACATATATATATATAATGAAAAAAAACTTAGTAAGGCCGAGCCGATTGGGTTAACTCGGCTAACTCGACCGAGTTAGGTGCTAGGCGGCTGAGTTAAGCGCTAGGCAGGCGCCTAGGGAGGAAATAGCCACGGTTTAGGGGCGCCTAGACCGATTTTTGCAACAGTGGTTAAAACTCAACTTAGAATCATTTGAGGCAAAAAGGCAGAAATCAAAAGAAAGAGGACCTGCAAAGCCCACAGAGGAGCCCTCACGCAAACTTCGAAAACCGTTGCTCCACAAGCTATCGAGGCAGATCTCCAAGGATCAGACAAGGGAGGCCAGATTTCCTTGACACTTGGCAGTCCATGAACTAGCTGACTCTTTTCAATGATTTCGCTCTTTATGTGATTCTCCAAGAGCTGAAAATTAAAAAGGCCACACAGACAATCCAGGAAAACTAATCATTTAACGTTTTGATTCCTGTCGACTAAGAATCAAATGAGTACTGCCAACATTACCTGATCATCGAAGCATGTTTGAGCACTGCCTGACACCAGAAGGGAGATATGAGCAGAACTACTGGTTGATACATCACACCGCATGGTCACAACCCCACGAGAAAATGCACCGGCCTGAAGCGGTGGAGGAAGGGCACTGGAGCCACATTTAGAGAAATATTACGGGATATGACAGTTTGATTGAGAATAATCTCATCTTTTATTAAGGAATTAAACATGAACACAAGATAATCCACTTGCTTCATAGATGCATTTCATCTTCGAAACGAACTACCCATGATGAATCAATAAAGATAAGCATTTTAACCAGAAACTCATAATGGAAAAAGGAATTCTCTAATGGATAGAAAACAATTCGAAAGAATCACAAAATCAAAAATGTTACATACCTAACACGGTTATGGAGTTTGCTCCCTCGGATCTGAAAAAAAATAAAATAAAATAAAAAATAAAAAATAAAATGAAAAAGGCAGATTAAGTATACAACCATGTCTAATTATGACAGAGAGATTTGTGTTTTCCCGTTTCCTTAACAGAAGATAGAAGCATCAAACCAAATTTCTTCAAGTGAGATTTATAGGTTAGGAAGGAGCTTGAGGATCCAAATACACAACCGATACTAACCTCTATGCTCAAGAGGGCATTAAGGCCATCTTCCAGAGATTCCAATAGGCATGTGTCCTGAGGGCAAAAGCAACTCGATGAGCAATATATCCAAGGCAACACAGACAAGGGCGGGAGCAAGTGGAAATAATAAGAAACTTGAAGTGTATACTTTACCAATGGGCACGGCAATCCACAAATGAGAAACCTAATATTCGTGTCATCATCATAGATATTTATGGCAGGAAGATCATCAGAGGGACTTTCTTCATCATCTCCAGCAACTGGCTCTGGAGGAGGAGCATCAATCTTCGGAGGGTCCCCGAGAAGTTGAGGACCTATCTTAGCTTCAACTTTTCTGCTGTTATCAGAGAACACAAGGTTGTTTCGGACACAATAGAGCCTAAAGGACGCATGTGCAAGTTGGAAAGCATCCCAGGTAACGCAAGATGAACTGCAATAGACAGTATTTCAGAAGCAATTCGTTGGAACACAAAAGAAAAAAATCCAATTAAGTAGATAGTTAAGTGTACATGTAACCAAGGCCATAGGTAGTTATTTAAAACGAAGAATTGCCACAATAACGAATATGCCTCTCAAACCAGCTTGGTTGGCGTGAGTGGCCGTTCGTCCCTTAAGAGAGGTCGGGAGATCGAACCCCCTCTCGTATGAAAAAGCCAATCTGGTCAGCACTTTGCCCCTTAATTGGATTGGGCCAGTGCGAACGGGGATTAGTCTGAGTATGGTACGGGCTTAAAGGTGTCTCCTACAGTTAGGGTCTGCTCAGGACACCTCGTGGTTTGAACCCCCCCCAAAAAAAAAAAAAAACAACGAATATGCCTCTCAAACCACTCTACTGCCTTTAATGAATTTTGCATGATAATTACCTTTGAACCACCGAGAACAATGCATGGCGAAAATGGCAAGCAGCAAAGCGGGAAAATGTGTTCTTCCAATATATCACATATGGAATTCCCTGCAAAGATATATTACATGCCAATGAAGCAACGGGAAACCACACAAAATCTTAAATCCTTATATCAAGCAAGTTTATCGCAACCAAAGGTCTTCTCATAGTTCCAATTGACAACTATTAATTGAATAAAGTTCTGTTACCAATTACCATAGAGTGAAGAGCCGTGGCCAACTTTTCTCCATTTGCTAGCTCCAAGTAAACCTGAACAAGTATTTGATAATACAAACGAAAATGAAAACTAGGAAAACGGTGATGTCAATGCAAATTCATCTGCATCCTAATTTATATTTTGAGTTCATCTGCGATTATTTAGTGAAGCACCCCAACACACAACCAAAACAAAACCAAAAAAGAACATCAAAGGAAGTAGATAGCAAAAGCCCAAAAATTGGAGTCGAAGAAAGGTTAGTTACTGTTGTTGGTAATTTGGCACCAAAAAGCCCAGAAATGGTCTCCTCAGAAGACAAGTCAAGACCTTCCCATACTAGCGAACCAACTTCGCCATTTGGAAGTTGTTCTCCTTGTAAAAAGACAATGTTTGGCTGCAACGTATCCAGAGCCGTACGAAATTCATCTCTACTCGGATTTTTCAGAAGATGAACCTGAATTTAACCAATAGCCACAGTAAAAAGAGAACAACAAAAATCAGGCAAAATACTAATCGATCATCTTATTAACACCGCACATATCTATACATATGCTAACTAATAACATTAATTCACACCTCCAAACGCCCCGAGGAGACAATCTCGGGGAAGGGATATGTAAGACCATCAACTACAACATCTTGCTGGTGCTTATTTCCAGTAGCTTTTCCACACACAACCCCAAGGAGACTGCAAAAGTTCTTTGAAGTCCCTTGAACAGAACACATCTGGGTGTTGAGATTCCTATGTTTATCCCAACCAAAACCAGCTCTTAGGCCTCCTCCAAATTGCTCTAGCAGAACAACCTCAAAATCAGCAAACTGTACTACATTAAATAAAATAAAATAAAATAAAAATCCCTCCAAGGCTACTGCAATTCCCCCAAATGATCAACTAAAGAAAACCCCTAATTGCCCTAAACTACACAGGCCAACTCCCTGGAGAAGAAGCCAAGCTAACAGAGCTTCAGAAATCAAACTCTACTAAAGTTTAAACACTATCCAAGAAGAAAATTTAAATAAATAACACAAAAAATAACAAGTTTTCTCACAAATTCAAAAGATTACAACCTCAAAAACCCCGATAAAATTTCCCAAACCGAGAGAAATCTAACATTAGGCAGCAAGAATCAAACAACCCAGAAGGCACAGGAAGAAGAACTCACCGATCCAGACGAGAAGACCAAGGAATTTGAAAACCCCAGAATGAGAAATCACCAAAGATCTACGCCCACATGCTCCAAATTCACATAAAGAATACGGACGAGTAAATAATGAAGGAAACCCTAAGGAACCAATCAATGTGGGAAAAATAATAAAAAGAAAAAGGAAAAGAAAAGAAAAAAAATCGTGTGATTTAAGAATCTTTCTTTTGCATTCCCTCTTTATTTCTATTATCTAAGTGGAAATCATAAGACTCACAATCAACAACCGCTAAAATCAAATTGCCCCTAAAGAAATTTATAAATATAAAAACGAAAAAATGTTTTCTTGAGAGGCCGTGTCAGCTTTGGAGCAGTGACAATTACACATGCATCCGAGTCAAACATTAACAACGCATCAAACACCCGAACCGAACACAAACGTAAAGAAAGGATGAAAAAAAAAAATCAAAAAACCAAACTTTTTTATTACTATATAATCCCCTTTTACAGTTTTGTTCAATCCGACTACGATGAGTACGGAACAAAATCTGAAAAAGAGTCCCAGAAATCCCTCGTCCCTGTTCACGTATGCGGAAGATCATCATGATCGTAGAATTCGAATGTACTAAGGATTGGGATTAAGAGATTAAACGCATTTTAGAGACATGATTTAATTCACTAATTTTTATGTTTTTTTAGGGAATTGTATAAACAGTTCTGCTGTGTCTTTCTCTCTTCCCTCCTTTTTTTTGTTCAATTCTTTCTTTGCATTTCAAAGGTTTGTTTAGTTCTTTATCGCTCTCTCCATCATCAACTTCATTTCAAGTTTGAAGAGTAGCAAAGAAATTGGGAACTATATATATTCTTATATCAAATTTAAAATAGTATAAAATATCATACTTCTATATTGAATCAAAAACTTGTTATAAGATACACGAATTTAAAATAAACAACTAAGAAAATTAGAGAAAATAGCTTTTCTTATTCTAAATTGAATCATAATCTTATTATAAAATACATGAATATGATATAAATATTTGAAAAATAATCAAATTATGGATAAGTAATTAAAAACGCAATTAAAATTAAACAAATATGATCATTAATTCATCCAATTAAGGTTTTGACAGCATTAATTGGATGAATGTTTTGTTCAATTGACAGCCTTTGGCAGCTTTTTTATCCCCATCAATGATTTTTGCTCCTTTTTTAAGAATTTATAGTTGAAGATTTGAAGTGGAAGAGGCAGAGAGTGAGGAAATAAAAGATGTGAGAGTCTTTTGCAAAGAGTGATTTTTTGTTTTTGACATGGGTCACACCAAATTGAAAAGCAGTTTTGTCCTTGAGTGAGTTGCAACATAGCACTCGGACACATTACCGTAACTTGTCTTTTTTTTTTTCTCACAAATATCATTTTTTTCTTAATTTTCCCTTCTTCTCTTTCCATCCTCTCTCTCTTAGCCATTGCTAAGAGCATCCACACCAGAAGTTAATAAGGGGTTAATGTCAGATGAATAAATTTGGATGGGGATATTAAAAGATGTGGGGTGGGTGGGATTATTTGAGGGGAGAATCCTCCTGCAAATGTAAACATAATGTCAAAAGAAAGAGAAAATAAAAAAGCAACACACGCACCAGGACTATGTGGTCTAATGGTATTCGGGTTGGACTTCCATTTGGAAGGTTGTGAGTTCAAGCCTCAGTGGAGGCGTTATTGGCTCTTTATGTTTCAATAGGTTGAGAAAGTATATGAACAGATACTACAATGTAATAGAGCTAGTAGTATTCAAAAAAAAAAAAAAGCAAACAAAAGCAACACACGCGCACACAACCTGTAGCAACACTGGCACGCGCCTGACGCACAGTTTTATTTTTTTTTCTTTTTTTCTCTCCCCTCCCACTTTCTCTTTCCTAATCAGGACGCACAGTTTTATTTTTTTTTCTTTTTTTCTCTCCCCTCCCACTTTCTCTTTCCTAATCAGACGCGCTGACAGCGCCTGACGCTTTTGTTTTTTATTTTATTTTTTATTTCAATTTCAGTTTTATTTTTTTTTTCTTTTTTTCTCTCCCCTCCCACTTTCTCTTTCCTAATCACTCTTACATTATCCCCCATTCTCCCCAACTGATGCGGATGCTCTAAGAGCAACATTATCAGTTGAAGTTATTTTGTGGTTTTTTATGCGCCATGTAGGAATGAGGAGAGAGATAGAAAAAAGGAAAAAAAAAAAAAAAAAAAAAAAAAACCTAAAGCCTGACACAAAATTAAAAAGAAACACTATGAAATGAAGAGCACTCACGCCCCAGATGGAGCGTGCTAGGCACGCGTGGACTGGGTGTGCAGCATGCGCATTACGCGCTGTGCTGTGCTGTGCTTAAATGATCGTTGGGCCCCACTTACTCTGTAATAACTCGATATTTGCACAAGGATTATTTTTTCTCTCTTTCTACTTTCTCACTCCTCCACATCACTACAAAATTCTTAAAAAACGTGAATAATCCATAGATGTAGATGCTCTAAGTTGATAAATGATTTATTCAATTGACAAGTCCAAAACACTATTAATGTGCTTACATAGTCAACATAGCATTTATTTTAATTTACAATTTATACATAAAATATTATATTTTTAAATAAAAAGAACTAAGAGTATAGTTGATTAGTTGTGTTGTGAAAAAGATTGAACATTCATCAAGCTATCAACAATTATTATACCATGAATCATAGTTCACCTTGTAAGGTGAACTATTAACTTATTAACTTAAATTTCATTTTTAATACATTAATAAATGTTAATTTTTGTGTACCAAAGATTCATTATTTGGTATACTACCAAAAAATAAAAGTTCAATATATTAAAATTGAACACTCAGTATATTAAAAGTGAACATTATATGTGATCTACATTACAATTTGCCAGCTAGGAAGAGTTTCGAATCATTGACCATCGAAAAATCATTTAGTTAAAGATTTTAGTGCTAACAATAAGTCGGTGCAATCTCACAAGTTCAGATTATCTCTCCTCCTTCCTCCTTTGTAAGGATCGTATCTCTCTCACTCAGAAGTAACGCCAGTAATAGCTCAATAATGTAATTGTACACATCTATACCAAAATAATCCCAACACAGTCAATAGTTTTTCTTTCTTGAATCTTCATGTAAAAAAAAATATATATATATATATATATATATATATATATATATATATATCTTGTGTTCTCTTTGTTTGTTCAAAGTGCTTAATTACCTAAACAAAACATATACTAGATACAATATATATATATATATATATATATATATATATATATATTTAAACATATTAAATACAAAATATATTAATACATTGGAATAAGGGTCAAATAGGCCATCGAACTGCACCTAATAATACAATTAGGCCATCAAACTTTAAAAAGCAACAATTAGCTCCCTGAACTAACTAATTTTATTCAATTAGTCTAATTTGTAAATTTTGGAGGTTGTTAGCAGGTCACCCCTAATTTATAATATTTTAAAAAAATATTATTTAAAATAATTATTTAAAATTAAAAAAAAAAAAAAAAAAAAAAAAAAAAAAAAAGAAAGATATCGTCTCTGCCGGAGACGAAGAAACCTTCTTCGTCTCCGGCCATGGAGACGGAGTTAATTTCTTCGTCTCCAGCCAGAGACGAAGAAGGTTTCTCCGTCTCCATGGCCGGAGACGAAGAAACCTTCTTCGTCTCCTGCGTGTCAATCTGTTTTTTTTTTTTTTAATTATTAATATTAAATAATTATTTTAAATAATAATTAAAAAAATTTTTGAAAATGGGTAACCTGCTAACAACTTGGAAACCTACAAATTAGACTAATTGAATAGAATTCGTTAGTTCAGGGACCCAATTGTAGCTTTTTGAAGTTCGGTGGCCTAATTGCATTATTGAGTGCAGTTCGATGGCCTATTTGACCCTTATTCCTAATACATTCTCTCTTGTGAAGTACTCATCAAGTCATCATCTCAAACATATTAAGTCCCATATCCCCCATTGCAATCAAATGCCCTATTATTGGAGACTTTAATTTCTTCCATCACATTCAAGTAAGTTTCTTATACTTTAATTTGACCATGATAATAATTCATAAAAGCTTTACATATGATTATTCATTTTTCATAAGGTGTGTTTAGTTATTGTTAATTATTATAGTGGATAATTAATTGGTTGGTTAATATTGTAATTGTGATCTACATTATGGGCACGTGAGAGAAAAAAAAAATAAAAAAATCAAAGTTATTGTGAAATTATATTTGGGGGAATTCTTCAACACTGGTCACTTTGTTCACAATACTTGGAATTTGAAATTTTGTTTAAGAGAATTTGACTCTTTACACTTTTTTTTTTGTTGAAAACAAAAACTAGACTATTATTAATTTGTAGAAGCGATTAATGAAGGAATACAATCGGGAGGTTCATAATCCCAGAAACGAGAATCATACTGAAAGCCTGTAGCTCTAGTTAGTGCATGAGCTAACAAGTTCACTGATTTCTGAATTAGACGACAAACTAAAAGATGAAAACATGCCATAATATTAAAATAGTGGCTAACAATATATCATGTATGAGATAGATCTTTTTGCATTTGACTCTATATACTTCAATTATGTGAAGTTGGGTAATACTTAAGATGAGTAATATTACATGGACTCCCATTTTTTATTTCATACCATGTGTCACGCATTGATCAATCAATTCAAAGGGGTGAGCTATGGTTTTTGTTTATTATTTTTTTCTTCATCCAATAAAAATTAAACATTTGGTGAGAGTTATACTCTATGGAACATGTTGGGTAATGTGGTTGAAAATTCCCAAAAATAATAATCCTACGAAAAGATTAATATTATATGGGAAAAACAGAAAGAATTGGGAAGGAAAAGGTTGAGTGTTTGGGTAAAGGTTTAGCACGAGTTCGAACACAAAGTTCTTTTCCTTAAAACCTTATTTGCTACCTCCCACAAGTGCTAGGAGCGTTGTAGCCTAGGTTTCCCAGGATAAAACGTGCTATGATTCCTTGTTTAAGCACCTAAACAAGGAACCCGGCAAACAAAGCAAAGCTGGAACACAGATTGGCTAAAGAAGAGAGTAGAAGCAGAAGTTTTGAGATGAAAAGTTACTGGAATTCCCTTGTTTCTCACTGTGTAAAATGCTACTGCTTCTACCTCTCTTTATATAGGGATGTTGGAGTGATAGCATTCAACATGGCCATTAAATTGGTGTTAAAACCAATTGTGTAACACCTGTAACGGTCACCACTAAGTAGGATTAAACTCAGAATTTAAAAATTGGAATTAAACAGTATTAATTCCGTAACAGATGAGTTTAATCTTCTGCACTTTCGGGTTTCAGACCGTTGGGGTGCACGAGAGTGTGAACTCTCGTGCTGTGGTACACCACAAGAGTGCACCTCTCGTGCTATGGTGCAATACGAGAGTACACCTCTCGTGTTCACCGTTGCACGAGAGTTTTGCTCTCGGTGCACCACAACCTCTCGTGCTCTCTGTAGCACGAGAGTGGTGTTTTCGGTTTTGGCCGAGCCATGCACCACAACCTCTCGTGCTCTCTGTAGCACGAGAGTGGTGTTCTCGGTTTTGGCCGAGCCAAGTGACTATAACAGATGGAAAATGATACCGAAGTTAGGCATAACTTAGCCCGCAAGGCTAGCCCATCTCCGAACGACATTCGTGCCCGCAGGTGCCGGCGCACGCGAGCTCGGGCTTGATTTCAAGCCTTTTTGATGTCCTCTAGTTGGATTTTGATTTGCACCCCCCCCCCCCCCGCACGAGAGAGCCTCTATGCTATACAATTCTACAAGCTTGAAAAGAGCTCATGTATATAAGGGGGGCAAATCTTGTTTCCAAACCAATGTGGGACAAAGTCCTACATTTTTCCTTCATTTCCCAACTTAAATGGGTCTACTTTGAGAATCAATATCTCATTCACCCATTATCCGTTTTGAGCGTACAATATATCAATCTCTTCGTCTTACTACGAAAAATCCGAATCCACTTTGACCCGACCCAAATCGGAAGTGGACCCCACTGATAATTGTACCACAAAATAGCCACTTAATATGCTATTTTAAGCTAATTTTTCCAACAGAACACACCTATCTTTTTCCACATAAAGGTATCACTAATTTGGTATTCAGATCAATCAAATTTTGATATTTCAGTGAGAGAATGTATCACTCATTTGGTATTCAGATCAATCAAATTTTGATATTTCAATGAGAGAATGATTCATTGATTGAAATTGCGGGGTGTTAGCAAACAATGCTTTCGGTATACTACTCATATTCGTGTTCAGTAAGCGTTCGTTTATGAGTTTGTTTATTAAGATAAACAAACATGAATAAATTTTAGAGCTTATCTAATAAACAAATACATTCGTATGCTCGTTTGCTAAGGAGCTCGTGAACGTGTTCGTTAGTACTCGTTTAATAAGGTTCACAAGTTGTTCATTTAATAATGTTTAAGAATATGCTCGTTTAGTGTTTGTTTAGGATTGTTCATTAAAAAGCTCATTTAAATGTAATTAAAAAAAAAAAAAAAAAAAAAAAAAAAGATACTACTTCGGTTTTGTGTTTTTTTTTTTTTAACTTGATATTTTGACTTTGATATTAGATGGTATTTTTGGACTTATTCGTATTATTTTTATAGTTGTTGTATTTGTTTGATTATTGTCCATGAACATAGACTATTTCTTGTTCACAAACAAATTATAATCATAAACGTGTACATGTGTTTGCTTGTATAGTGTTCATGAACATGTTTGCAAATATTAACAAACAGTTCACGAATGTTAATGAACACTAATAAACACTTAACAAATAAACACAAACAATCTCTGTTCATTCGTGTTTAATTCGTTTACAATCCTAATTGAAATTAATATAAAATTTGATTTGATTATCTCTTTAATTACTTAATACTCATTTCAACATGAAATGGATCTTTATATGTCTAAAAATCAATGAAACGTGACGTGATATTCAATGATATCATATATAATCCTATCTCATACTCGAAGATATGAAATTAATAATGTTTTTTGGATAGTGGTATGTATGTGTTTTCTTACATTTATGATTAGACGATTGGAGTTGTCTATGTATTGGAAGGCTGAGTGAGAATGAATCTCCAGCCCAACAGTAGAGAATGACAAATTATTGTGTGTATCATAACAAAAAAAAAGTACATTTTTAATATACTAAAAGTTCATTATTCATGTACTAAATATACATTATATAACATAATATATTTTCTCTAAATAGTAAATATAATGTACATTTTTAATATACTAAAAATACATTATTTGTGTATTGAATATACATTAGTTGAAAAAATGATTCACGCAAGTGTGTGGACTGTGGACAATAATAATTGCCAAAGAATCTGTGTGGAATCCAACTCATATTCATAGTATTGGTCACTGTTCCTTCTTTAGTACCCAATCAACTCACACTTTAATGCCACAGAAGTGAAGCACATTATCACAATCACAATAAAATAATCTTCACAAGCTTAAAAAAAAACATTAATACAAAGTTCTAAAATCAAATAATGAAACTAGGTAATCTAAAACAAAATTAGTACAACCCTTAAAAACTCAAAACACTAAAATTCAAATAGAAAATTAAATTTTTTTACCAATAAACGCACAACGGCTTCTATTTATTTTCCCAAAGAATCCGCTTTGCGTCTTTAGACTAATTACTTATTATAATTGGATTTTTTTAGTGTTATCTCTACTCGACATTGCCCGCATTGAGAATAACATTTAAGAATGATCACATGAGCAAAAAGAGAATCACAACATAGCCAAATCCTGGATGTGGAGGGGATTACAAATCCAGCATTGTGTTTTTTAAGGAAATGTAACTGGGAGATAAGCAAAATCCTGCTTGTAGACTACAAATATGATTATCTGTGACACACTAACACCCAACAAAACTATCTCTCGACCACGCTATAAGTAAAGCTGTATGAGCTCATCACTTACTGCAGATGGCGTTAGAACACCTAGATCCGTGAAGAGAAGGGAGAGATACTGAGGCGGTGTGTAATCCCGAGCAGATGTTTCAACTTCGACCTTGGATGGAATTGGCACGCCAAAGTCAATTGGACGTAACGCCGGACCCATGTCTTTCTGATCCAGCGGATATAGACGAGCAAACTGCAACAAGAAATTAGGATTTTGCAGATATCAGACTAGTAGCATATTGTGCAGGCAGTCCATTTCAAGTTTGCAATATAAATGCACGTCCAAAGTATAGGAGAATATATCAGATTTTACTAGGCATGTTACATGTACTGACTTCTGAGTTAATTACTCCATACTTTTTAATATAGGATTTGTTAAGAGTCCCACATTTAAGGCCGTGTGTTAGACTAGCTAATTGGTTGGATTCAATTTTTTAGTGTGGTTTGGCCCATGTGCATTATAGCCCAATTGAGTAATCCTGACCCAATCTTAGATTATAAAAGGATTAAAGAAAAACTGTATTTTCATATGAGATTAAAGAAAAGTTGCATTTTCTACATACCTTATAGCTTTCAGCAGCAACATAAACTGGTTTGTTCATGCTCTTTGCTACCAAAGCAATTTGATAGGTTCCCATCATGTTAATTATACCTCCACTTTCAACCACGCCATCTGCTCCTACAAACACCATATCAACCTCATCCATGCTATATGCCACCGCAGAGTCTATTAAGAGCTTTACAGGAACATCTAGCTTGGCTAGCTCATTTGATAATCTTAGCCCAGTCCTGTCTGGCCTCCCCTCTGCATTTTGGATCATGTAAATAATACATTTCAGGCTTCCATTCAAACTAACACACAAGCATAGAGTTACCTTTACCTTCATTAGTGGTGCTCCAGTTATTTAATTTATCTTTAGATATACAAATAGACCAATTTGTTTCTTATTCTGCTCCCCTTTTTACACTAACTAACATGCGGATCAAGCTTAAAAAACATTACAAAGAAGAGAAAGGGCAGGACCCAGTGGTCCAGTGTACAAGACTTCCCATACCATGATCCCATGAACTCACACTAACAGAGTGCACTTAGACAATACATCAAACCCCAACCATTTTGAAAATAAGCTAATGGTTGCTTAATAGAATTTCAAAATTCATTTTTTGTTCAGTAAGTAATGAGAATCCAGATACTAACCAGTGCAAAGAACTCGGAAATGTTTCCTGTTTTGCGCTGCTGTTTTCAATATCTCCAACACAACTCGAGAAAAGCCGTGCACCAAAATGGTACAGCCATCAAAAATAAAATCTTGACTAAGCATAGCGATTATTTTTCGAGCCTGCACTACACAAAGCAAGGTTTTCATGTACTCACACATGCAATATACACAGTTCACTGTGAAATTCACAATTCACTTTGCACACCTTATAAGATATCTCTCCAAATTTCTCTGCACGCTCAAGAAGGCGAGATTTTGCTGAATTGAAATCTTCATATTCCAAAGCTGAAGTCCTTGTAACATAGCGCATAAACAGATCACAACCAGCCGTCAAAGAGATGGATGTTGTGTCCCATGACTGGATTAAAAAACACAGATATTGGAAATATATTAGCTATCTTGACATATTCTAAAATCAACCAAGTTGTTAGTTAAAGCATTTGGACAGAACCACATAATCAAAGAACAGGCACAGATGGTGAGATAATTCCAGTCATACTAAGCTTATAAACTTCTACTATTCAGCATTTCACAAAATTAGAATTCCAATTTCCACTGAAAATACTATGCCTTCAACTACTAAAGTAGTAAAGACAGATTCCAATGGTTAAGTACACATGCATTTGCTAAAAATAGCATTTCAATTATGTGATTTTGTTTCACAATTGATCCTGAATGTAATCAGTTAAATAATTCGATTCTCACAAATTAACCCCCCAAAAAATCATACTTTCAAAGAATCAGATGCCTTCTTCAGCTCAATTTCAAGCTCCATCATCGTAGTAGCTTCACTAGAACGAATAACCGAGGCCAAAGCCCTAATCGCCGCCACAGCCTCTGCCAAGTTAGGCTGTTTACGCCAATTATTGAACTCATCAATCACACTGAACGTCTTCCCCGAATCGTCGGTCCTGGCCGACGAGTTCTCTGAGATGACATCCTCCGGGTCGCCGCTGCCTATGGCGGCTTGAGCCTGAGCAAGCCAATCACTGGTGACGACACCATGGTGTGCCGCTCTAGTCTGATAATAAGCCGAGATGTTGTTATTAGAATTAGAGTTTTGTAGGGTTCCGGCCATGGAGGAAGCCTCGGCGGGTGTGGGAGTGGGAGGTGAAATTTGGCGGCTCTCGGCCTTCGCAACGTCGTCGTTTTGCTGCTTGTCGAGAATGAAAGAAGCTGATCTATACCACATTTATTATGATTGTACGGTGTGATTGGAAGGAATCGAATAAAGGTGGGGAAAGCGAATTCTCCGGCGCGGTTTTGAAGATTCCGGCGTGACGGGCAACATACCAATACTACCGCTCTCGGATTTACGTGTGCCCCAAAACCCTTGTACCGCCGCAATTTTTACAATTACTATACAGTATACACTGTGGTGGGGCATGAAACGTTATTTATTTATTTATTAAAAAGAAAAGACATAATGCATTAATTAAGATCGGAAATAAACTAGTTTGGTTGACGTGAGTGACCGTGCATTCTCGTTTCTTAGAGGTCGGGAGTTCGAACCTCCTCTCGTAGGAAAAAAATCAATATGACCAGCACTTTACCCCTTAATTGGGTCAGTCCAATGCGAGCAGAGATCAATCTGAGTATGGTACGGCTTAAAAGTACCTCCTACAGTTAGGACCTACACAAGACACCTCGTGGTCGCAATATATATAAAAACGTAAGGGTTATCAAATCACTTTGAACGAATATACATATAAATGGATTCCCGCATTAATAAGTGGGCAATCATATTTGTTGATTATAGGAGGGTGACTTCGTGACATAGTCGAATAATGCAATAATGATTATTATAGATAGATAAAATTATATATTCATGTAATACTTTTTCACTTTGAAAAGTGATTTACTTTTACCTAATTAAATTAAATGTATAAATTTTTCACTATTTTTCTACTTTCATTTAATATTCTCCCATTTTCAAGCTAAGTATATGTTTTATGTTTTTTCATAATTTAATTACATACTAAATAACAATTGTACCCAAAAGAAAAACCAAATAAATAAGAATTAAAAAAAATAAGAATAAGGTTCAAATTGGCCACTGAACGTAACCTGAAAATGCAATTAGGCCACATAACTATAAAAAAAAAAAAAAAATGCAATTAGATCACTGAACACTCCAAAAAATGCAATTAGGCCACTGAACTTTCCAAATGTATGCAATTTCACCGGATAGCAGGTTACCTGCTTACGTGACAGCTGAGTTGGCATTTTTAATAATTTTTAATAAATTTTAATAATTAATTTTAATAATATTTTTTTAAAAATTTAAATAAAAAATAAACGACGGGGTGACTGTCTATTTTGTTTTTTTTTTTTTTTAAAAATTATTATTAAAATTTATTAAAAATTATTTTAAAATTATTAAAAATGCCAACTCAGCTGCCACGTAAGCAGGTAACCTGCTAAAATTGATGGTAACCTGCTATCATGTGAAATTGCACGTTTTTAGAGTGTTCAATGGCCTAATTGCACTTTTTTTTTTCCGTTTAGTGGCCTAATTGTATTTTCATGTTACGTTCAGTGGTCAATTTAACCTATTTAGAGTCATTAATACTAAGGCTCTGTTTGGCAAACCTAGCTGAAAAGCTATAAGCTAGGAGCTGAAAGTTGAAAAGCTATAAGCTCGGAGCTGAAAATTGAAGAGCTGTTAAGCTAGCTGTTATGATTGAAAGTGTTTGGTAAAATTAGCTTTTTGATAAGCTGATAAATGTAAAAAAGACTAAAAAGGACATCTTCATAAAATTTAAATTAGTTTGTTTACATATTAAAATTTAACATTTCGTCTTCCAAAAAAAGTAAACACTTTTTAAAATAAAACTATTAGCATGATCATGATCTAGCATCCCATAATGAAGTAGCAATATTGTTGCGAATCTCCTTCATCTCCATAGAGGTGTGACTTAAATTTTCGTTGATAGAGATATTACTACTTGAATCTTGAAGTTCATCGGGCGGTATGTAATCTGGATGCTGTTCAAGCACATTAAACATCATGTTATCTTGTGAATTTTTCTGAGTATAATTATGTAGTGCAAATGACCATAATAACATCAATTTGGGTCTCCTCACTAAACTGCGACATTTTAGCAAGTATCTTCCATCTCTTATTCAATACTCCAAACAACCTCTCAATACAACTTCGAATAGAAGAATGTGCACGATTGAATGCTTCTTGAGCATTAGTTGGCGGCTCTTGTTCAATTTGAAATTGAAGCCATATTGCTAATTTTAAAATAACATTAATAATAATAATAATAATAATAATAATAATAATAATAATAATAATAATAATAAGCTAAAGTTTCAACATAATTGTTTAGCAGGAAACAATACTAAGGAAGGGATTGACGTAAAAGTTGGGATAGGAGAAAAGAAAGGGTTTTAATTCATAAGGTTAAAATATGTCATTACTTTAAAATAATAAGGGTAAAGATGGAAAAAAAGTTAGGAAGCTAGTAGCTTATTTTGAAACGCTACCTAAAGTAGCGTTCCAAAATAAGTTCTTATTTTAAGCTAGGAACTTATTTTGAGAACATTACCAAACAGAGCTTATAACTTATTAGTAGCTTAAAATAAACTATAAGCTCCTAGCTTAGTTTTGCCAAACAGAGCCTAAAAAAATACAAAAATAAAAATTAAGGGTGTGTTTGGAAACCTGGAAAATGAGTTCTGGAAATCATTTTCCAAGTTTTCAGTGTTTGGATGTGCCTGGAAAATCAAGTCAACGGAAATCATTTTCCGTTGACTTTGGAAAATAGGCTTGTTTTGGAGGAAAATGACTTCCCATTTTTTTGGGGGGAAGTCATTTTCCAACTTTTACACCAACATCACACCACCACCAACATCATCAACACCATACCACCATCACCACCACTATTGCCGCCGCCACCACCACTATACCCCCGCCACCATCACACCACCACCACAACCACTACCAACACCGCAACCACTACCACCACCACCACCACTACCACCACCATACCACCGCCACCATCGCCGCCGCCACCACCACCACATACCACCGCCACCACACCACCACCTTCACACCACCGCCGCCGCCACCACCACCACCATACCACCGCCACCACACCACCACCTTCACACCACCGCCGCCGCCACCACCACCACCATACCACCGCAACCACCGTCGCCACCACACCACCACCGTCATACCACCACCAATTATTATTATTATTATTATTATTATTATTATTATAACGAATAACACCACTACCACTACACCACCACCACCACCATAATATTTTTGATATATTATTAATTTTTTTTTTGAAAAACTTAGCTATTTTTTATTATATTTAAAATTAATATTATATTATTATATATTATTATACATGTTGTAATATTCTAAATAAAATAATTAAAATGTTTAATTATACAATTCTACTCATTTTCTAGAAAATGAACCAAACACAGAAAAACAGTTTTCCATAATGCAACCAAACACTGGAAAGGAAAATGTTTTCCGGAAAATGACTCATTTTCCAGAAAACATTTTCCATAAGTCATTTTCCTGCTTTCCAAACGGACCCTAATTGTACAAAAAACTGCCATCTTGTGTACGGATAAATGGGTTGCAAACTTTCAATATCTGAGACGTTGCAACTTGCAACCCACATCATTAATAAAAACAAATAAATAATTTATTTGTTTGGGAAGAAATAAATAATTTGATTAAAAAAAAATATTTATTACTAGCTCAAGTCAAGTGTGAAACTTGTAGGGCCGGAGATAGCATAGCCACATGTTTTGTTTGCAAAATAAAAATCATAGTTTATAATTGATGAATGGTTTAACTAGCGATAACTTGAATTAAAAAATTATTAATCTAGTGGGGTTATCGGGATGATTTGAGAGAAGGATCATATTGTAGTAGGGTCATTAGTCGAACAATGTTATTCTTATTTCTTAATGACTTTATTCGAATGATCTCAACACAACAAAGTCGTCTCGAGAATCATAAGACTTAGGTTGGATGACCTTAATCTAGTGGGGTCATCATGACGTCTTGTGATAGCTTGGAATGAATGACCTTAACCTTGTACTGTCATTTCAACTTATTGAGGTTCAATTATGAGAACTATAGAGTTCATAATAATTAATATAACAAGTGTAGAGACAATGATGAAATTGAGAAACATATGATCTAATCGACTATCATAGTGCATCAATATTGATGCATAACTTTATAAATAAATTTTCTTGCGTGGAGCCTAACATGTATAATTGATACCGAGTAACATTTTTTGTTCAGTTCTTCATTTACTTGTCTTAGTTTAAGATGAACATTTTTTTTTAATCACTATAATGTCTGATGTCTCAGATATAAGATTAACAAATAATTTTGTTTCAAATGTGAGACAAGTAAATAAATTATCTATTATATACGAAATGAAGTTTCGTTACTTATATTAAGCTTGTGAATCGTGTCAAATATGAGAAATGACATTTGTTTCTACCGATACATATTTGAAGTATTGATTTGTTGTAAGCAATTATTAGTAATGATGATTGATAGTTGTGTCACATTGATTAAAGAATGTGTCTGTTAAAAATTACGCATAACCCACAATAGAAATATTAAATAATTTTATAGTAATTTTCAGTGCGTTAAAATATAAGTTTAGGAGTTACTCTTAAAGTGCACTTGACCTTTGAAGCTCAAGCAAACTCAAATAACTGGCCAATCTCATTGTGTGCTTTTATCTTTGGTGTAGCATTTGAGCCAACCAAGACTTAGCATTAGAGTCTAGAGATAACACATAAAATAATATTTTTGAATTCAAATACAATACTTATCAACCTTTGCAAATATGAGGTAAAGGGCTATATATATAACTTTTTTTTTTTTCTTTTTTTGACAAGGAAAAATTGTGTATTGATACAAACTCAAACTTATTATTTTGAGAATAATTGTATTAATCAAATTGCTAATTCAACACTATATAATGAGTTATTTCGTATTACATATCTTTAACTCTCTCAGTCTATTTACATTATGTGAAAAATTGGTATAATTATATAGGTCCATAGTAATTGGTTAAACGATAGCGAGAAATGTTGATATGCTTTCAATAACATCAATTAAATTACATGTATGTCACAAGTAAGACTACAATGATCTGATCAACAGAGAGTCGAATTTAGAATATTGTGGTTACTAAATCAACTATTTGACCAACTTGACTTGGAGATCGACTCCTGACCATTGCAGTGGTGCAATTTCACCTTCTTCGTAGGGTGACTCATTGTCCGTACCGAACACTTGGGTCCTCTAACCTAAAAGATTATTGAGTCACCATAATTTAACTTATCCATAATTCATATGAGACCGGAGTGTAAGTGTCACAGAGATAATATATTTCACATTTTTACCCTAAGAAAATTTCAAAGTCAACTAACAAAAAATATTTATATGGTGTGCTATGAATATATGATTAGTTAATTTAATATGAATTTATTTGATGCTAACTAATTACTAAGTGCAATATATTAAAGTTGTTGAACCACAACCTCCTATATGAAGGAGCAACTTGATTCCACTAAATCACAAGGTCCTTGAGAAATAATGCTCCGTATTAAACAACAATTGTAGTAAATAATGATGTAAGTTTTCAAAAAAATAATGATGTAATGTATTAGTGTTAACTGTTAACTGCGGTAAGAGGAGACCCGCCTGAATTAAATATTAGTTAACTTTTTTTTTATAGGAAAAATGACACTTTTTCCCACTGAGTTATATACTTATAGCACTTTTCTCCCCTCAATTATTCAAGTGGCTGTTTTTTCCCCCTAAAATGTTAAATGAACATATTTACCCTTAAAATAAATATTTTATTTATTTTTCTTCTCCAACAAATTATGACCATAATTTGGTTCAAACCAAATAAACACTATAGCAACCAAACCGAAATATTCCAATTACAATTTAGAATCGAAACTCGATATTTAGAGTTTATTAAAATCCCGGAACGGACGGTTCATGTTTCGAACTGAAAAAATAAAATACATTTATTGTTGAATTTAAACTATTTTTAAAATAAAAATAAAATTTTAAAATAAAAACGGTTCAAAATCGCGAATCGGGTTCGGAATCGCCAGTTCACGGTTCAGGATCCAATTTTTTTGATTCATAATTTTAATAAATTGAAATCCAAATATTGGGTTCTAGGTCTGAATCATATCCGGAAACTTTTAATTCGATTGCTATAGTGTCCGATTCAGTTCGAACCGAATCGTAGTCATCCCTACGTATACGCAATAATTTATTGAAGAAGTAAAATAAATAAAATGTTTATTTTAAGGGTATAAATGTCAATTTAATATATTAGGGAAAAAAATAACCACTTTTAGAATAATTGAAGGGGCTAATGTGCTTACCTAAATAATTGAGGGGGAAAAAGTGCTATAAGTATATAACTCAGGGAGAAAAAATGTCATTTTCTATTTTTTGAAAATAGTCAAACATACTATACTTTTTATATTATAGCAAAGATGTAATCAAATACCCCTTATTTAATAATGTGTATATATTTTATTTTGTGCAATTAAAGTTATGATTTTTTTTATTTTTTTTTTTGTTAATGCTTTGAAGTTTTAATATTCAGCTTTATTAAAAAAAAAAAAAAGAGAGAGAGAGAAGGAAAATACAGTGAATGAAGAAAGTGAGGAGGAGAAGACGTTGTATGATCGATGAATTTATAGATTTCGGCGGGTCAATCTCCATGATGATGGTTTCCGTCTCTCCGATTTGATTGTTTTTTCTGAACATTTTATAATTTTGTTTCCAGCTGTCGGAATTCGAATTCTCTATTAGGAGTAGATAATGCGGAGCACTTCATTTTGGGTTTGATTTGTAATTTTTTTTCTCTATTTTCTCAAATTTTAGATGGGATTCAATGATTGCCCAGAAAATGGGAAGCATGGAGGTTCCTTGAGTGCTTTGATTTATTCGGTCTGTTATTTGTTTCCGCGTCAGCACAGCTGGATTTTCCCCAGAAATAGGGGTTCGCTCCATATTTAAATCTGTTTTTAAGGTCTGGTTTTCCGATTTTTAGATGCTGTGCAATTTGGAATCATTTTATCAATTCTGCTTGAATTAGGAATTTTTTTAATTTTTGGTAAATAAGGAAGGGGGTGCAGCTAGAGGTTTCCCGGATCGGATTGATAAGGAATTCTGAGTTAGGTTGCTATTTGCGTGGTGATTTCGACAATGTAGTTTGGGCTTTACGTTTTGATTGAGAATTCAGCAATCAGAATAGTAGAGGATTGATGGTGAGCCACTGTTTGATGGGCGTTGATTGGTAGCATTTCAGTTTAGGCATGGGAACAAGGAGCTTTGTTTAGGATTGATTTAAGAATTCGTAGGTTTTGTTTGTCCCAAGTGATACTTCCAGCTTCTTGCATCTGAGAATTCCATTTTTACAGAATTTGTATAGGCATGTAAGTAGATAACAAATGAGTGAAGTACAATGAGCGGGAGGCTAGGTTTCTCGTGTAGATGGATGCCTCGGATAGGACGCTGCCTGATCTGGTTGGGTTACTGAAAGCATGGATCCCTTGGCGGTCAGAACCTGCTAATGTGTCAAGGGACTTTTGGATGCCTGATCAGAGCTGTAGAGTATGTTATGAATGCGATTCCCAGTTCACATTGTTTAATCGTAGGCACCACTGTCGACTCTGTGGACGAGTTTTCTGTGCCAAGTGCACGTCTAATTGGGTTCCTGCACCATCCACTGATCCAAGCAATCCCCGAGAAGAACGGGAAAAAGTCAGGGCTTGTAATTATTGTTTTATGCAATGGGAGCAGGCTTTAGTTGCAGCTGTTGATAATGGGATTCAGTTTGTTGACCTGGATTCTGGTCCTTACACTTCTGCAACCAGTTTTACTAGCTTTAAATCTGATGGAAACTGCGATACTTCTAGCAATACATCAATGCCGCACTCCATGGCTGGACTTAGCTCACATCAGTCACCAATGACAGAATTGTCTAAAGACAGGGAGGGTGTTGTCACAGCCAGAGGGAATTCTGATCACGATGCTGCTGACATGGGAATTTGCAATTACTCTCCAACCCCATCTGCAGTTTGTACAACAAGGTATTTCATGTTACTTCTTCTGTGATCATGTTGTGTTTGACTAGTTTTTTTCTTTCATAAACATTCATCCTGAAGTTGCCAGCATCTATCACTTCATTTTGAGTATATTCTGGCCCATTATTCCAGCAACTTGAGGCCAGCATATCCTTAAATATTTTTGTTGTGTTAATAAACATAGGATTTGAGCAAGGATCACGTTCACCTCTGTGGTTGTGCGAATATCTTAGGGTGCTTAGGGATTTGATTACCTCTTCTAGTTCATACAGTACTCCTGTTTTGATATTCTAGAATTTCTGTTGATTCTCTACTCACTATTAACTTTGACAATCTAACATACTGGAGACCCTGTGAATTATATAAACTTTTTTTTTTTTTGGGTAGGAGAGTACCTACTTAATAAGAAATAGGGTGTAGAAGGAAAGCATATTTATTTATTTATTTATATATATAGGGGAGGGTTCATGTGAGAATACCTCCCCTGTAAAAAGTGAGAACTTATCCTAACCCGGGAGCCTATTCTACATGAACCCTCCCATACACACACACACACACGCACACACGCACACACATATAGGGGATGGTTTAGGTGGGAACACCTTCCCTTGTAAAAACTGAGGACTTATCCTAACTCTTCATTTTGACAAATCAATGGTTGTGTACTTGTATTTTTACCATAACTAACTTGGGGCAAAACTGTAATTCATTAAATTTAGAATTAATACACTGACAATTTCTTTTTAATTTTAAAAAAGATTAAATTAATCCAAAAACATGGTTCACAAGATCAACATAAATACAAGGCCTAGATAAATCCTCACTTTTTTATAGGAGGGGAGTGTTCTCATTTGAACCTCTCTCTCTCTCTCTCTATATATATATATATATATATATATATATATATATATATATATATAGATAGATAGATAGATAGATAGATAGATAGATAGATAGATAGGGGGTTTAAATGAGAACAAGGTCCTCTTGTAAAAAGTGATGACTGATAACAACTGCCCTTCAGGGTTCTACGGTTGAGGGATTTAGTAAAAAAAAAACACTGGGTAAATTTTACAATTATTGCAAACTTGAAGTTTGCAATGTTTCTAAAACTGACCTCACCCCTTTTTTCCCTATTTTTCAGCGACACTCAACCGTTGATCTCCCCAAATGAATGGATCATATCAATCCTTACTTTTTATCTGGGAGTTTGTTCTCAGCCAAACCCTCCCATATTTGTTTATTTATCTTTGCCTTATATTTGTGTTAAGAGTTATATCTCTTTTGAGCAAAAGTGATTTTTCAAGTGTTGTATGCTATCAATAACTTCATGATCATTTAGTTGTTTCTTATAGACTTTTTGAAATTCAGGAGTGAAGAAGAAGAATATGATGCTTACCAGTTAGATTCCGAAAGAAAACATTTACCTCAGGTTAATGATTACTATGGTCACATTCAGTTCAATGATATTCATGAGGACTTTGGATTAGGTGAAGTTCATATGGATGGAGAAGCTATTGATACAAAGAGTGTGGGCAGCTTTTATGTACATAATTGTATTGACTCCCAGACTTCTGAAGAGGTCCAGAAATTTGTGAAAAAGGAAGGTGAACCTGATATCAGTGATGAATGTGAAGCATCTTCATCTCTGTATGCGGCAGAAAGTGTCAGTGCTGAACCTGTGGATTTTGAGAACAATGGGGTTATCTGGATCCCCCCTGAACCTGAAGATGAAGAAGATGAAAGGGAAGCCCTCCTGTTCGATGATGATGATGATGGGGATGCTGCTGGAGAGTGGGGAAATCTTCATGCTTCGAGCAGTTTTGGAAGTGGGGAGTACAGAAGCAAGGATAAATCAAATGAGGAGCATAAGAAAGTCATGAAGAATGTGGTTGATGGGCACTTCAGGGCCTTAATAGCTCAACTTATGCAGGTTGAGAATCTTCCTATGGACGAGGAAGATGAAAGAGACACTTGGTTGGAGATAATTACATCCCTATCATGGGAGGCTGCTACTTTGTTAAAGCCTGATACAAGTGAGGGTGGGGGAATGGACCCTGGTGGATATGTAAAGGTTAAATGTGTTGCTTCTGGACGCCGTAGTGACTGGTAAATTCTATATAAGTATGCTGTACTGTTTTGTGCATAATGTGGTTTTGCTTAGGACAAGGTGTAATATAGAGCAGTAGAGGTTTTAAGATTTGATGACAGTATGTCTTCAAATCAATCATACATAAGAAGCCTTATTGTGCTGCTAAGCTAGGGCTCTCAAATAGGAATACAAAACTTTAATCAAAGGTTCATCCAATGGTCTAAAACTCTAAAAGCTTGCCTTTCTGAGATCTGTGGGAGGCTCAACCTGATATATGATTAAAGTAGAAGATTTTATACTTAGGCATGAGTCTCACCTATTAAGTTTTTGCATCATTTATTGTTGGATGCTACAGTACTCTTTGTAGCAGCCATTTAGTGTCAACTCTTGGAATACCTTAAGAAAGGGGCATTATATGGGATCAAGTATTTAAAAATTACATGACACTATTGTGGAATTTGGAGGTCATTAGAAATGCTAGAAGTTATCAACTCCTTGAAATGTATTTTGCTAAAGTGGTTTGTATCCAGTCGAGATGCAGACAAACTATTACTAATCACAAGCAATATGCATGTACAATAATGATAAAATTATGTTTTTAATTCTGATGTTTAGTTCTGAATTTACAACGTAAGTGCTGCTTCTTAAATCCATTTAAGTATCTTATGAGGCATAACCTGTACATCTACTCATATTTATACAGCTTTGTTTTACTTGTGACACATATTCTTAAATAGGCATTGTGCATTAGTTCAGACACATTCACTTATCATTCTTTTCCTTTCCTCCTTTAATAGTTCGGTGGTCAAAGGAATTGTTTGTAAGAAAAATGTGGCTCATCGGCGAATGACATCAAAAATAGAGAAACCTCGCATATTGATCCTTGGAGGGGCTCTTGAATACCAACGGGTGGCTAATGCCTTGTCAAGTTTTGATACTCTGTTGCAGCAGGTTGTGGTTATGAATGCTTTAATCCTATTAATTGGTGTGGATGTGAAAACCTTCTTTTAACCTATTGTTTTCTCCGATGAGCATATAGGATTAATCATCTTGATCTTTTGGGCTTGTGAATTTATATGGAAATCTAGGAAATGGATCATCTCAAGATGGCTGTTGCAAGGATTGATGCGCATCAACCCGATGTTCTTTTGGTGGAGAAAACTGTTTCCCGCCATGCACAAGATTACCTTTTGGCGAAGGACATATCAGTAGTTTTGAATATCAAAAGGCCACTTTTGGAGCGTATAGCCCGTTGTACTGGTGGTCAAATAGTACCGTCAATTGATCATCTGTCATCACAAAAATTGGGACACTGTGACATGTTCCATGTTGATAAGTTTGTAGAAGAGCATGGTACAGCAGGGCAGAGTGGAAAGAAGTTGGCGAAGACACTGATGTACTTTGAAGGTTGTCCAAAGCCGCTGGGTTGCACTGTAAGTATTTGCAATCATTAGATAAAGAGGTGTTGCATTCATAGTAATCTTACAATTATTTGCTGAGATATATAGATATGCCAAACACCATGATGAGGTAGTAGTATTTGACATAATCTGGAAATATAGATACGCCATTAATTTTCTGAAGTTTGATGGGTGACCATTCATGAGAGAATCTACTCAGACTAACTACCATGGTGGTCACTTTCAATTTTTATATGACAGAGATGCGTCACAACATTGCATTTAATGTGCTATGCTTTTCCATGACCTTTAAATGTTTTGTCTTTTAATGGGTTTTCTTGATGGTTTGGCTCAGTTACTACTTCGAGGTGCCAATGGGGATGAGTTGAAGAAAGTGAAACACGTGTTGCAGTATTCAGTTTTTGCAGCTTACCACTTGGCGCTGGAAACATCTTTTCTTGCTGATGAGGGAGCGTCCCTCCCAGAACTTCCTTTGAATTCACCAATAACCGTGGCACTTCCAGATAAACCATCACCTATTGATAGATCCATCTCAATGATCCCTGGGTTCACTCCCCCTGGGGCAAGTGAAAAGACTCAGGGATCTCCACCTTGTGGTCCACAGAGGTCATACAGTGTTCCTACTGAGAATCTGTTCAAGGATTTTGCTACACATTATACTGCAATTGGCACTGATTGCGTAAAGTCCTCCATTGCATCTCAGCAGGGCATCTCAAACCCTTCCTCAAATGACTCCTTTCTCTCCTATGTACCTGTGGACAGAAGTGCAGCATCATCCAAGGAAGAACCTTTTGGATCAAAAAATGTTTCTGATTGTCCAAGAGACGATCTTACATGTAATGGTTTTAGAACTTCAGATGCATTGGAAGTGGGAGGTGTGGCTGAGAATGTGCCTACTTGCTTCATAGTGGACACAAACCAAAGTGTTTCAAATTCAGTTAAGGAACCAGCTTCTTCAATGGAAGAGTTTCCTCCTTCCCCATCTGACCATCAGAGCATTTTAGTTTCCTTATCATCCCGTTGTGTGTGGAAAGGGACTGTCTGTGAACGGTCTCATCTCTTTCGGATCAAATACTATGGGAACTTTGATAAACCTTTGGGTCGCTTTCTACGAGATCATTTGTTTGATCAAGTAATCTCTTTCTCCTCCCCAATACTTTTTCCTATCAAAACATGGTCCTTTTTCTGTTTGTCTATTTCTTGATAGGGTCCATCTAGCTGTTTAAACTAATATGGCTTTGACCTTTTGACAGAGTTACATATGCCGTTCATGTGAGATGCCATCCGAAGCACATGTTCACTGTTATACCCATCGTCAGGGTACCCTCACCATTTCTGTTAAGAAGCTGCCAGAATTTCTTTTACCTGGCGAAAAGGAAGGGAAAATCTGGATGTGGCACAGGTGCCTTAAGTGTCCACGAATGAATGGCTTCCCCCCTGCAACCCGAAGAGTGATAATGTCTGATGCTGCTTGGGGTTTATCTTTTGGAAAGTTTTTGGAGCTCAGTTTTTCAAACCATGCAGCTGCTAGCAGAGTAGCAAGCTGTGGCCATTCTTTACATAGAGACTGCCTTCGCTTTTATGGGTATGGTCTTCTCTAGTTTCTTCTGAACAGTGAAAATAATCTGTGTTCCAAGCATTTGTGAATCTTTTCTTATGTACTTGAATTTGTTCCCTGATAACTGGTGTCCTATAGATAGGTTTCATTACCAAACTATGATAATACAGTCTGTCTACAAGTCATAGGAATACAGAAGTAAAAAGACTCATTCATTGTTGAATGTTTATTAAAGTTGATCATTCAATGAATTATGCAGGTTTGGAAAAATGGTTGCTTGCTTTCGCTATGCTTCTATTAATGTTCTTTCAGTGTACCTTCCTCCACCAAAGCTGGATTTCAATTATGAGAATCAGGATTGGATACAACAAGAAGTGAATGAGGTGGGAAGAATGTGACTTTAGATTTTCTTGAGCATGTTCTGTGGTTAACTTTATCATAGTATGTACTGGGGAGATAGGTTACAATTCAACAGCTGCTGTGTAGTGGCTGATCCTACTTGATGTAACTTCTGCCGGCACAATAATTAGGACATAGAAAGCATATCTACTTTCACCCTGCGGTGAAGTTTTCCCTCACTAACCTTGCATCTCATCTCTTTGTTAAATTAATGTAGAATATAAACTATTCAGGTCAAAAATCGGGCTGAGCTCTTGTTCTCTGAAGTTCAGAATGCGCTCAGTAACTTGGAAGAGCAAAAATCTAGTGTTCTGCTTAACAGTGGTGTTAAATTACCAGAAGCTAGGCACCAAATGGCAGATTTGGAGGAGATGCTGCAGAAGGAGAAAGCAGAATTTGAGGTACAGGTTTTACTTGCTAATGCTGAAGTTTTCTTTCTCAAATTTCTGTACTATGTTATTGAATGAACTAATCAAGACAGCTTTTTATGGAACTGAGATCCTTACTCATAGATTTAGAATCATTAATGTTAAGTGTATACAGTGAAAATTTGTCAATAATAGTAATTGTATTCATGTCATGTTCCCAATGACTTTATACCCAAGTAATGTTTCCCTTTTTTACCCTGTACCTTTCCATTTATGCATTGAGGGTGCTCCTGATGAGGTATGAAAAACTAGAGTGCAGTGATGAAAATATTTAGTGTATTTACGTATCAGTCCTAGTGATGTTATTTATGGGAGTCCTGGGTTCTAATGGTTTTGTTTGGTAGCAGGAATCACTCCAGAAGATTTTAAATAAGGAAGCTAAAAAAGGGCAACCTATAGTTGATATTTTTGAGATTAATCGACTGAGGAGACAACTGCTTTTCCAATCTTATATGTGGGACCACCGTCTGGTATATGCTGCTGCTAGCTTAGATAATCAGAGTCCTGATGATGCAGACATCTCTACTTCAGATGTAGATAAGTACACTGATTCTGATATCCCTGTTGATTCAAGCAAAGATCTGTTTAATTCTAATCCTGTGTCACTGAATGAAAAGCCCAATGACAGCTGTGAAGAAGAAGGGGTTAGTGGTAGCAACATATATCAGACCAATGCCATCATGGAAGGAGGTGATGCAGATATTAATTCGAAGCGTGTAATTCAAAATCCATCGAGTTTTTCCTTTATAATGAACAACACCGATTCTCTAGAATCCAATGTAGTCCTTGCTAGAGCCCATTCTGATGTGTTCCCAATTATAGAGAACTTGTCGGACACTCTTGATGCAGCTTGGACAGGTGAAAGTCATTCTGACCTGGCTAGAGTAGATTCTTTAATTTATAGAGTTCCAGAAAAGCTGGATGTTGAGGACAGTGGAGAGGAGCATAGTGGATCTAAATTGTCACAGTCTCCCTTGTTCTCCTCCAAGGGCGTAGAAAATATGGAAGATTCTATGAGCTGGTTAGGAATGCCATTTATAAGCTTCTACCGGTCTTTGAACAAGAACTTTTTGGGTGGTTCTCAAAAACTGGATACACTTTGTGAGTATAATCCTGTCTATATTTCATCATTCCGAGAGTCAGATGCCCAAGGTGGAGCTAGGTTGCTCTTGCCTATAGGTGTTAATGATACAGTTATACCAGTGTATGATGATGAGCCTGCCAGTCTTATATCTTATGCACTGATTTCACCTGATTATCTTCTCCAAGTGTCTGATGAGGTTGACAGACCAAAAGAATCTGCAGACCCTACCTTTTCCCTGCAGTCCTTTGATTCGGGAAATATCCTGTCCCTTCAATCAATGGAGGAAATTGCATTAGAATCCTGGAAGAGTCTTGGATCTGATTATGAGAGTTTCTTGTCCTCTAATGGATCTCGTTGCGTGGATCCACTCTCATACATGAAGGCAATCCATGCCAGAGTCTCTTTTGCAGATGATGGATCACAAGGGAAAGCAAAATATACAGTAACTTGTTACTATGCAAAGCGCTTTGAAGCTTTGAGGAGGATATGTTGCCCATCCGAGATAGACTTTGTAAGATCTCTTAGCCGTTGTAAGAAGTGGGGAGCTCAAGGAGGAAAGAGCAATGTCTTCTTTGCAAAGACCTTGGATGATCGATTTATTCTTAAACAAGTTACGAAGACAGAACTGGAATCATTCATAAAATTTGCTCCCGGATATTTCAAGTATCTTACTGAGTCAGTAAGCTCTGGGAGTCCAACATGCTTGGCAAAGATTCTGGGAATCTATCAGGTATCTTGACTGATTCTGCTACTTCAATGTTTCAATTCTTTTTTTGTCATTTAACAAGACATGTGAGCATGTCATAATACTAGCACATAATTCATGCAATTTTTTTTTTGGGGGGGTGACGAGGGAAACCCGCAGCCACTGCCCGAGGGTGTGCACTGGGTAAACTCCACCTTGTGATCCTAGCCGGCAAAGGACCACAAGGAGGTAAACCAGTCTAGGTTGTCCATAGCTGACCGACTCAAACCAAGAATGCTGAGATTCAAACTCGTGACCTTGTGGTTACACGTTTGTATCCTTAGCCTTCTTGGCTGGGGTTACCCCCTAATTCATGCAATTTTTGCATGCATGCAGTGCTTGCTGCTCTGGATAATGTTTGAGCATTAGATATCTTTTCATGGATAGATGAATTTATATTTATACATGAATAGTAAAATTAGTTGCATATTTTGACTTTGAAGACAATGTTGAATGCGTGATCTTTGAATATCTATGTTTTCAACCGAGACTTTAGACAATCTGAAGCTTCAACATCTTTCTGTTGGTTTATTTGAAAGGTTACATCAAAGCATCTTAAAGGAGGGAAGGAAACTAAGATGGATGTTCTGGTCATGGAGAATCTTTTATTCGGCAGAAACCTTGCACGGTTATATGACCTTAAAGGATCTTCCAGGTCTCGCTATAATGCAGATAGTAGTGGAAGTAATAAGGTGTTGCTCGACCAGAACTTGATTGAATCAATGCCAACCTGTCCTATTTTTGTTGGAAATAAAGCCAAAAGACTGTTGGAGAGAGCTGTCTGGAACGACACCGCTTTTCTTGCAGTAAGTTAACAGTTTTTTTGTGATCAGATCAATGTGTTTTGAATAACTATTCAAATATTTGTTCATTTGCTCTTTTTTCTTTTTCTTTTTTTTTTTTTTTTTTTTTGGGTGAGGAGCTCTTTTCGTAACAACATTTACACTAAGCTCAGTAGTTTCTTGCAGTCAATTGATGTAATGGATTACTCTCTCCTGGTTGGGGTTGATGAAGAGAAGCATGAACTGGTTCTCGGGATTATTGACTTCATGAGACAGTATACATGGGACAAGCATCTAGAGACGTGGGTTAAGGCGTCACGCATCCTAGGTGGACCCAAGAACGCTTCGCCGACTGTAATCTCACCAAAACAGTATAAAAAGCGGTTCAGAAAAGCAATGACGACATATTTTCTGATGATCCCAGATCAATGGTGGCCTCAGACCATCACCCCCGGTAAATCTCAGACTGATGTGCCTGAGGAGAACACACACAATACTGCTACCTCTGTGTCGTAATATTTTATATCTTTTTGTATGTATAATCAAGCAAATTCAGCATTCATCTACATAGGTTCCCAAATATCTTCCTCTGCCAAGTTTTCTTATTGTGAGGGCTAGTTCTGCACTCTTGTTTGTCTTCTCCTCAGGGGGGAAGAATACACTCCAGGAAGGATCTGTCTCTTTCCTACAGATGTAGGATAAGTTTTCTAAGTACATACATACATACATATATATATATATATATATATATATATATATATATTCATCCCTCTATTATTTTTTTGTCCAGAAGAACTAAATATGTACATGAACATCAATCTTCAGTGGCATTTATTTTACATCTTGTACAAAGTAGAAGAGAAGAGAAGAGAAAATAGAGATGTAATCATAAACTATGAGAATCAAAGAAGCCATTGGTGTTGTTTTTTGCCTGTGATCCAAAATGGAAGTTTTCATTCACAAGTCTGTTTTGCCCAATAAGCCCTTTGTTTCCAATGGTTATTACATTTCAGCACCATCAATGACTTGAAGCCAGCATCTTTGCAGAAGATCAATGATCTCCGATTCCCTACATAACAGCAGTAAGATCGCCACGGAGTTCTGATATCAAATTTAAAGATGATTAAGCTCGGTAAGTATCATGTTACCTGGAATTACAGGAAAACTTAGAAAATTGCTGGCAAAATCTAGGCCCTTCGTCGTACCCTTCACATGTTATCTCCCCATTCTCATCTCTGTAACAAACAATACCCTTTGATTTGTCCTCAAAAACCTGTTTGAGAGATCAACCAAACATGGGTGAAAATGAACACATACCATGAATCTAGGTTGTTAAAGAAACCTTTAGAAGGAAAACCTTAATCTTGTTCTCAGATGATGATGATGATTCTTGCATAGACATATTATTGCTTGAAACATGACTGCCTGATCTCACCAAAACTCTGTTAGCAGCTGGCTTTCCCCTTCTGGTTGGAGCAGATTTGCAGATTGCCACAACAGTTGATGAAACACAGCATGGAACAGCAGCCATTGATCCTCAATCTGTACTACCTTAAACAGGGCAGAATGAGAAGAGAATGTAGTCTTTTCTTGTACTCTGTATGATGAGTTTTCTGTCAAGGTAAGGTGAAGAATGATGAATTTCAAGGGAAGTGGAGCTCACCCTTGATGAATGTCTTGTCAAAAATGCATTATTTTTTTGCTACAAATATGTTTTTGGTGGGGTCCATCCAGCTTATCTACCAACTGTTGTTGAGTCAGCTGGCTGTTTGTTTGCATTCTGGGGTTTGGTCATTTGAGTAGGGAAATTAGTATGTGTACTCCTAAGTTCTATTCCCAAATTTTATTCTATTTTTAAATGTTTTATGTAGACATTTTTCTTGGAATTCACATAATGTAAATAGGCTATCATTGTTTGTCATGTCAATGAATAAAAGTGAGGGAGTAGAATTTGAGAATATATGTAGTGAAACTCTTTGAGTAGTGGGTCTGGTTGTATGAGAAGCGTTATGGCCTCTCATTTGTCACAATGGCAAATTTTACCGTGATTCATGAAGTAGGTATCATTTTAATTACACTTCAGTTTCATTTGACAATATTATTCTGTTTTTCAGTTTCATTTTCCACACACACTAGTTTCATTATAGCAATACCAAAGTATCATTTTAATTCTAGTACAGTTTCATTTAAAAATATATACATTATTGCATAAGCTCTATTTTTTAGTTTCATTTTCCACAGTCCACAGATACTAGTTTAATTATAGTAATGTTGAAGTATTATTTTAATTACGCTTCAGGTTCATTTGACAATATATGTTATTGTATGGCTTTGGCTTTTAGTTCTATTTTCTACAGAGTAGTTTTATTATAGTAGCACTAAAATATCATTTTAATTATACTACAGTTTCATTTAATAATATACGTTATTGAATGAGCTTTGTGCCTTTATTTTTTAATTTTATTTTCTACACATTAGTTTCACTTGACGATCATGACCCACACATCGATGTGTGGACCATGGTTCATTGTATAACAACTGTGTCACAATAATAAACAAATGGGGAGAAAAAAAGCAGTGATCATAATCATTTTAGGCATTTCCAACTTTATTTGGTGATAGGTAGTATTTAATAAAATCAGGTACCATCATGCTTTTTAAAGACTATATACGACAAATGGATGAATTGAACAAATTTTGAATGAGCAAAAAATGATTAAAGAAAATCTGGATGTTTTTTTAATTCACTAAAATTAGGTATAAATTATATTTTAAAAGAAGAGTTGAAATATGAATTATTTGGGTGATTGTCCTTTTCTTATTCAACATAAAATTTTAATACTCATAATTTAATAATTTAATTTAAATTTGAGTATTTATAAAATAATATATATGTGTGCGCACTATTGGTAATTTAAATAAAAATTGATGGTTAAAAATCAAACATATAGCCAATTTGATAGCAGTGTGAAAAGGATGATTTGCACAAATTGAAATAAAACCCGTCCTAATTATCACTCTTACCAAAAACTAAATAATTATACTCTAACGTATTATCAGGAAATGAACGTCACGAGGTAAATTCAAAAAAAGGTTTTTTTTTTTTTTTTTTTTTTTTTTTAAATACTCATGACTCTTTACCGGGTACGGAGTAATATATATTATATACTTTTTCAAATATTTTCAGTCCAAAAGAATCTAAGTCTCCACCATCGAAATTTGAACTTATGACCACCCATTTGCAATGGTAATCGGGGTGCCATCACATTACATTTTTCTTATATCCTATCATCACATATTCAAAGATTGAGTATGGTGTAGTGAGTAGTGACCTAGGAAATATCTGAGTTCGAATCTTCAACGGGAGGGGATCTCAACCTTAAGGTAAAAAGCAAACACTTAGAATCTGCGTCACTTTTCAAAATATTTTATAACTCTCACCTAGCTTTAGGTTTGTTGTTGTTAACTGAAGTTGTTACAAAGTAAAAAAACGCTCCGCATAAGTCGCGAACTCAGATCGTGATTCCGACAACGATCTCCGATCGTGGCAACCTCTCTTGGTTGTGACCTCCTAAAGCTCTAACCCTCAACAAACCTGAAAGGTAACTCATCAACAATAATCATTTCACATAGTGATCTCCTAATCAACTCTTAATCAAATACCCATATTCCCAACACCCCTTCACTATCCTCATAGTTGGTAAAAGTAAAACTAGGGACAAGGGAGAAGGTGAGAACTTAGTATCCTTAAAGTGAGAATTTTTTAGACAACTCAATATGTGATTTCTTAAAGAAGAAATCGCATGTTTTTAGACTCGCATGCAAACAATTCTGCACAATATAAGCACTTGACTTTGATAACGATTCACTCATTATTTTTTTTTTTTTCAAAGTGATCATATATATAGGGGATATGGTCTTAACATCTTCTTCTTCTCCTTCTTCTCCTTCTTCTTCTTCTACTTCTTCTTCTTTTTTTTTTTTTTTCTTTTTTTTCTTTTTTTTTTTTTTTGGAACAAATGAGGCAATAGTTGCTGAGATGTATTTTTCTCTACAGCTTGTGATTAGACATCATGTTCCACACTTGGCAGGGGAGGTTGACATCCAGACTCACCAATACTTTCCACTTATAAACGAAAATATTAGTGAATAGAAATCACTCAAGGCCTCAGGCAGACATGCAATAACACATAGTAACACAATTAGACACATAAATTGATAATCTCATTATCAGACAAAATCATAGAGAGATCCAGAATCAAACACGGGGACATTTCATCATGTATCTAGATTCCAAAATTAAATGCTTCATGTCTTCATTACTCATTAGTTCATTTAAGGGTCATATATCCATAAACTTTACAAAGAAATCCAGAATCATACACTTAAAAAAAATCATCATTTATCTGAATTTCATAACTTAGATTTAGAATTTAGTGACTTCCATCAAATCACCAATATCCTTAATAAATTCATAATCAGGGCCCATTTAATGATCATGATTATCAAACTGGAAAATGGAAATTTTACATAAAACATATGCAATCTTAAGGATCATTTAAGAGACATGCGAACTGAAAATTTCACAGTTAATATAACATAATCAAGAGTCATTTAAGGGACATGTAAACTAAAACTTCCAGTATATCATAAAAACCCTAGATTTGTATATTAAAAAAAAAAAAAAAAGAAGATTGTGGCAGTTTTTTGGCAGCTAGGGGCCTGCGCATGAATGGTCAGTATAGTGTGACAAAAGCCGAGACAGTATGTGTTCGTGAAGCTTTAAGCTGGTTGAAAGGAACAGGTATAGGAGACGTGGAGACAGACTCTCAGTTAGTTTATAATGCTTCCTTCAGACTCTTTTAATTCGTCTTTTAGTTTTATTATTGATGACGTGAAAGAAGTTGCATCCTTGATAAATGATGTTAACTTCTGTTTTGAGAAGCGATCTGCGAATCGGGCTGTCCATATTGTTGCTAGGGAGGCTGTTTCTATGTCTTGCAGGGAGTGGTTGGATAATCCTCCTTTGTTCCTTGTGGACTGCCTTTTATCTTATTTAATGAATTAAGTTATTTTCTTCAAAAAAAAAAAAAAAAAAAAAAAAAACAACTGAGACAAATCAGACAATCAGTATATCACATTATCATGAAAAAGTAAAAGTATAATATTAGGTTTTAAGAATTACTTCGTTTCTCCAAATAATCTCTACAGAACAAGGGCGTCAAGTTCCAACTTCCAAGTAGACCAAGCTTAGGGCTTTAACCACAAGTCATGGACTCACAGTTGATATAACACAATCAGGGCTTCCACTAGAGTGATGGAGTATGTGAGACACAGATTGGTAATAGAGAATTGAGAACTGAGAGAAGATTAGAATACTCAAAAGTCAAGATAGTAAAGACTAGAGACTGAGAGAGTGGGAGAATTACTAGTAGAGAGTTTAAGTCTATGAGACAAGAGAACAGAGAGATTGAGAGAACGAGAGAAATCATAGAACAAAGAACTGAATAAGACTCTGGAGTGAGTAGAGTTTTCTCGTTGCTTACATATATACTCTACCTACACGATGTCGTATAATATACAATCTATATATATCGGATATTCAGACGGGGCGAATGTATTAGTACCCCCAATCCGATTTTCATTACTCTCCATAAAAAAAGAGAGCGGTTGAGATAACCCGTGTCGGGTTCTGATTCAACTATGCGACAGATCGTCGGATTGCTCGAATTCTGCACAAATTCTAATTATTTGTGTGCTGAATGTAGTTATACAAAATAATGAATTTCTTTTTTTTTTTTTAAGAAAAATAATGAATTTCTAATACTCAAATAATATACTTTTTCGGAATACAATATATATTTTTAATTTTTTAATATAATAAAAATATATTATTTGTGTAATGCGCATTATTATGTGATAGTATAAAATAAATATTCGGAGTATATTTTTTCATTTTTCATTTTTTATTTTAAATTTTCTAGTTTTTCTTTTCGGGTAAGGAAGAAGAGGATTGTTCTTCCTACCTTAGCATTACTGCAGTAGGGTTTTGAAGATCCCATTGATCGAACCAAAAAATGTTTCTCACTAGGTAAAGGAAGAGAACTGCATTATTCTTCATTCTTCATCGTACTGATTATTGTTAATCCCTGTACTAATTTTTTCTTTAAAAAAAATAAAATTATTCTTTGTATGGAGTGAAGAACGGAATACGATAGAGGTGTCAACACCTTTTCTCCCGAAGGCCGTCTGTTCCAAGTTGAGTACGCTATTGAAGCTATCAAGGTATATTTGGTGTTTTCTGTGTAGCATTTCTCCCAATTGTTTTATTGAATGAAATCTACTCCGTAGTATCATTGAAGTATGGTTAAAATCGAGATTCTTATGGTTGGGTTTTAAATGTGTTGCAGCTCGGTTCAACGGCAATTGGGATAAAGACAAAGGAAGGAGTTGTTCTCGCTGTTGAGAAGCGCATCACTTCCCCACTACTGGTCTGGTTCTGAAATTCTTGTTATTTTAATGCTCAGATCATAATTATTATGGAGTTAGTAATGTTTGATAAGTTTAGCACTTAAGCTAGAGTCTTATAATGGTTAGTTACTTCTGAATTATAGCTTTATGGTCTGGATTGGTTTAAAGTTTGAGGTTGGAAGTACTTAAACTATGAATCAAATAAAAAATATATGTATGTATGGTTGTATCATTCATGCTATGATTTCATAACATTTTAGGAGCCAAGCAGTGTGGAGAAGATTATGGAAATTGATTCCCATATTGGGTGTGCAATGAGTGGATTAATTGCTGATGCACGGACACTTGTAGAACATGCTCGAGTTGAGACTCAGGTACCTATGAACTGCAGATAAAGGTTATTTGTAATTTTGCATTGTCTTGCTAGTCATTCACTGTGTTTTCATCATGTAATTCTGTAATTAGAATCATAGATTCTCCTACGGTGAACCTATGACTGTTGAGTCCACTACACAAGCTCTCTGTGATTTGGCCCTGAGATTTGGCGAGGGTGATGAAGAATCAATGGTTAGCTGCACTTTCTTTCCCTGGCTAAATATTCTTCGAATTTGTTAATCCAGTTTTGTCCAGACTATGTTTTTGTGTCTTCTCCCGTATTGATACTTGTGCTTCCTGTGTTTATTTTATTTGCTCGTTGAGTATAAACTTTTACTGAAACCAGAAGCAAGGTATTGCATAAACATACTCAATCGAAAATTATCTTTTGCTGTTAAATTATGCACCATCCCCCACCCCCAAAAAATCGAACATTACATTGTGTGAAATTTTTGTGAAGAAGAAAGACCTATGGTGGTGGTGGAGGTTTGCGCTCATTGTGTGAAATTATGTTGAAGAACTTGTGTCAAGATTTTGTTGATCGTATAGTCCTGTGTTGCCGTAGGGATATCACCATTATTGTTTATTGAATGTGGATTACAATGTTTGTATCCGAAGCTGCTACCGTATCCTTCTTTGTATAAATGTACACAAGGTTGTGAACCAACAAAAGTTAATGACACATCCTTGGTGCTATATTTAAACGTCATCTTCTTTTTGATAAGTAAAGCTTCTCACTAAAAGGAACCAAAAGGGGACACCGAAATATGCACAAGTTTAAAAACATCTTTAATGGATGAATTCTTTGGTTGATGCAGTCTAGGCCTTTTGGGGTTTCTCTTCTCATTGCTGGTCATGATGAGAACGGTCCAAGCTTGTAAGTATGCTCTTTCATATTTTAAATATTTCACTCTTTTATGCACCATAGGGGGAACATGACTTTATGGAACTTCTGACTTCTTTCATGGATTTTGTCTTTGTCCTTGTGTGTTAAAATACCTAGGGAAAAGGGTCAAATAGGCCCTTAAACTTTACACGAGGGAACAATTAGGCCCCTGAACTTTTAAAAGGTTCAATTAAACACTCCAACTTATAAAAATCAGGCAAATAAATCCTATTTACCGGTACCTAACAAGTTACATGTAAAATTATGATGATGTGGCCACCATTGACCATTGTATGCCATGTTGACCACCGTAAACTGCCACTGTTAAGGAAAAAAATGTGACCAAGGCGACCACTGGTCGCCCTCTTCTGCTTTTGGTCACCTTCTCCGATGGAAGGCAACTAGTTGGTCGGATTCTTCAAAGGCGGCAGTCACCGGTTCCTGGTGTTAGTCCCTAGAGTGTCGCCGGAACCCTAGTGACTTGCTATTACAAGTCGCTAACCAATTTTTGGGCTTCAACACACCAAAATGAGCTTAATTGTACCTTTTAAAAGTTCGGGGCCTAATTGACTTTTCAAATAAAGTTTAGGAGCCTATTTGACCCTTTCCCCAAATTCCTCATATAAGACACAATAAAAATATAGCATCCTCTATAGACATCAGAAAACATCCTTCTATCAGTCTATGCTGCTCCCATTGCCAGCTAGCCAATACTTCCTAATCTAAGAACTCTGGAGTCTCTTATCATGATGCTGATGTATTTTCAGATATTATACTGATCCGTCCGGTACATTCTGGCAATGCAATGCAAAAGCTATCGGTTCTGGTTCTGAAGGTGCCGACAGCTCTTTGCAGGAGCAGTACACTAAGGTAGGTTACCTGCTGGGTAGCTGTTTCTCAAACTATAACAATTATGATCTTGTTTAGATGCCAAACCAGAGGTATGTATTTGTTCTGTTTTCAGGAGCTCACTCTTAAAGAAGCTGAAACAATAGCACTATCCATCCTCAAGCAAGTTATGGAGGAAAAGGTAAACTTGACATTTCATTGCTTCTGTGTTTTTTCGCTTAAAATCAAACGCCTAACCCCTTCAATCTTCTCTTAATGCCAGGTGACTCCCAATAATGTCGATATTGCCAGGGTATCCCCAACTTATCATTTGTACCCCCCTTCCGAGGTGGAGGCTGTCATTAGCCGCCTGTAAGGAGAGAACTACATCCAGGAGCTTTGCACTTAATCCGGTTTTGTGTAATTGCAAACATTTGCATCTGTACTAGAATTGGATTTTTCCAAAAGTTTGTTTCGAGATTGTGCTCCATTAGTAGTTGAATGAAACTTCGGGGTGAACTTCTTTTAAGGTTGAGTTGATCCTTTTGACTTCATTATGTCTCACTTCCCAGTGGTTTATTTTGGGGATGTTTGGTAAATAGCTATTAGCTGGGTTTGAGTAGTTGATTGTAGAAAGATGTTTGGTAAATTAGCTGTTAACTGATAGATGTCTAGCTTATTACATGCAAAATGGTTTTTTCAAAAAAGTTAATCAAAAAAGTTGTTTTGAGCAGTTTTTTGAATTTTAGTATTTTAGAGCAATAAGCTGTTACAAAAAGTTAATTAATCAAACATTTATATTGAATGTTTAACCAAGTCAAAAAACTAATAGTCAAATAAATTAAAATTAGTTGGTAAATTAACTGTGTTACCGAATTGAGCATTCCTTTTTTCTTTTTGAAATATGATTGATTTTTATGATTTGAATATAATTGAAAAATGATATGTTTACCAAATGATGTCATTTGTATTAACCATATTCTTTAGTCTTTTTCTTTTCTTTTATAGTCATGAATTTCAAATGAAAATTAAATCTCTAGATGGTATCCATTATTTTGTACTAATCTTCATGAGTGGCCTTAAGTTTGAAATATGGTTGGATTTTTATGATTTGAATGCTAATACCATGTTGAAATGTATAATGTATGTTTAGACTTTCCCAACAAGTTATAGTATAAAGTTGATTATCATTAACTTGACATCTACTCAGTATTCTCACACACATTTAACATTCTTCCGGACCAACAAAACTTGCCACCTCTCATTCAAAACAGAATATATCACTTTCAAGGCTTCAAAACACGTCGTAATGATACAAGTATACAACAACAAAAGTATTATCCTGATGCGCTATCACTCTTATAGCCTTGCTTACAAACTTATGCAAAAAAAACAAACACTAGAGCGGTTCTCAAACTTGAAAGATTGGTAATGGTGAATCTACACTAATTTGGCAAGGCTCCAAAGACCCTATAACAGATTCTTTGGTGGCACAAGTTTATAAGGCAAGGTACTACCCTAAGGTAACGTTCTCTGGTTTTTGCTGGCGCAGTATTATGGCGGCTAAAGGATTAATTTGTAGTGGTGTGAGACGAAGGATTGGTAATAGTGAATCTACACTAATTTGGCAACATCCCTGAAGACCCTACAATACAAACTGAGATGCCCCTCAATTGGCATGTGCGAAAGTGGTGGGTTTGATTGATCAGTACACTGTTTGGTAGGATCAATCTATTTTATATTATATTTTTCTCCCTATTGATGTGCCTCGCATTTTGAAGATACCTATTTCCCCGACGTATGAAGACACTTGGTATTGGCATGGGGACCTAAGATGTTGCTATTTTATTAAAAATGGCTACAGGCTCATTGTTGAAAATTATATAAATATAAATAATGATGGTGCTTTTGATAAATGGCTCACCCTATATAAGCTAAAAATCTCCAAAATGGAAAATCTTCCTATGGAGAGCTATAAGTGATATCCTTCCCACTGCAAAAAACATGTTTATAAAGAGGGTATATGTTAATCCTATTTGTGCCATGTGTAGAATTCTTCATGAAGACACTATGCAAGTTCCATTTGGAATCAATCTAACCTTCCAATCCCAATCCCCAATATTGTAACAAATGTTTTTCATGATTGGTTTAGTGAAGTCTTGAATATTCTAGACACTAATGGAGTTATCTACGCAGCTGCAATTCTTTATCATATTTGGAGAGAAAGGAATGATGCGGTTTGGGATGCTTATCTTCCGATGCCGAGGAAACTTTTAGCCGCCGCTATGGCCACCTTGCACGCTTGGCGCAGGTACACTCGCCTGCCGTCTCTCTGCTACCTACCGCGAGCGCTGGGGCATCTGACATTGCTGTTGCTACTATGCCTCCCGATCCACCGCCGGCTGCAAACAATATTGCCCAGCTGCCGAAGATCTGCCACGTAGACGCCTGCCAGGTATCATCATGCGTCCAACATGGCCACAATGGGGGCGGTTCTTCTCGATGAAACAGGTGGATATATTTCAGCCTACAGTATTATGCTTCCAAATTGTTTCTCTCCGCTAATGGCCGAAGCATTTGCGTGTAAGGAGGCCTTGTCGTGGCTAAGGAATCATGGAGAACAGTCCGTAGAGCTATACACGGATTGTCAGACGCTTCAGTGTTATCTATCTTCCACGGCTAGTTTATTCCTAGATCAGATAATGTTTTAGCTCATACTTTAGCTTCTATTCCTATGTATGGGGACTCGGTCCCTCCTGACTCTATTTCAACTTATCTCTAATATATACCATGATAGTTCCTATCAAAAAAAACAAAAAATCATTATCTTGAGATAATCTTGGCAAGTTAATAAACAGCTTAAACATTATACATTTCAACATGGTATTAGCATACACAATTGCACGTTTTAATTCCTAAAAAATACTTCTTTCTGCCAATACTCATAACCACAAAGTTTAGACTTTCCCATAAAGTGATAGTATATAAACTATTAGTCTATTATAAAATGATAGTATAAAGTTGAATATCATTTTCTAAAACTTGCCATCTACTCAGTATTCTTACACATTTAACATTCCCCTGGACCAACAAAACTTGCGACCTCTCATTCAAAACAGAATATATCACTTTCAAGGCTTCAAAACGCGTCATAATGATACAAGTATACAACAACAAAAGTATTATCCTGATGCGCTATCGCTCTTACAGCCTTGCTTACAAACTTATGCAAAAAAAAAAAAAAAACCAAACACTAGAGTGGTTCTCAAACTTGAAACCAAGTTGCCACATTTTATTCGAAATCCTATGTGAACAAGTATGGAGTATACGAGACCAGTAACATTAGTCGCGGTACTGGTCCATGAATCTTTGATGGAACTCTGTAAGTCGAGAGACAATAGCTGGTATTTTATCCTCTTGGGGCAATATTGTGCACCTAAAATGCCAGGTCCCGGGGACCTATAAGAAAAGCACCATGAATGATCAGAACCAGACACTCGAAAAAATGACTAATCAGTTCTGTCGATAGGAAAAGTGTACCTGTCGAAAGCCAGAGCCTGGGACGACAACTACTCCAGTAGCGTTAAGTAGGCAGCGAGCATAGAATGCATCCGGAGCAGTCTTAGCTGCTTCTGCTGCCTTTATGGCTTTCTCAGGAAGACGAATACGAGGGAAAAGGTACATAGCTCCTTCTGCTTTGTTGCATGTGATTCCCTCCAGACTGTTTAAGGCATCTTCGAGTGTCTGTAAACAAAAACAAAATTAGGAATAAAGAACTATCGAATGTACAATCCATCCCCGCTAAGGAAATGGTATCATATACTCTGCATATTAATTCCAACATTTCTAAGTTCCTAGTCACATTTTCTCCCGTATTTTAAATAGTTGGACACATCAAAGTCATTTTCATGTTTACAGATTGTTTCAGCCAAAATCAAGTCATGTTCAGTATTCGAGCACAAATACAATGCAGAGTTCAAAACCAACTATTCAGGAAATATTTTCTCATATGCATCTTTCAATCTTTCAAACAGACCACAAAAGAGCACTTTTGATACAAAACAAATCAGAAATTCAGATACAGACAGGAAGTTCATAAAAGATTAAAAGTACAAATTAACCTTTGCACGCCTTGCCAAGGATGAGAGTATTGCATCTTTCTCAGCAGAAAAAGACTCGTAGGATTCATCTCCGACCTGTGTATATCAGTAGAACTTATGAACTGTCTATCTAATCATCAGATTAAAAGCAGGACTGTAATGGGTTGAGCATTGGATAAAACTGGTTCACCCATTTTTGAGATACCAGAGAGGATAAATTTAGATCTAATCCATTGATGCTGTTCATATTTTAATTTGCAACTGGAATTCAGATTAAACTTGCAGAGCAATTCAATATGCCTAATGGCTATCATCTAACTGTAATTATTATTTCCTGACATTTAATTTTCATTGAGTGGAAAAGAGGTTCATAGCAACCCCCGGGCTCCTACATCCAAACCTATTTTTACCAAACCACATTTAATTTAAACAAATACTCACTCTGTCCCATTTTATGTGTCCTACTTACTATTCATTGGTCAAACCAACTCTTTCTTCCTTGCTTATTTTCTATTTTTCTTTAGTATTTTTTTTACTATTTTAAAATTTGATTTTTTGTGTTTAATTGTACTTTTAGTGTAGTTTCTAAATATATAAATTTTGTATACTAATACTAAACTTAATATTATGAAAAATTAGATTAAAAATAACTTAAGTCAAGCCTCGTTAACCGAACCAGACACATAAAATGGGATGGAGGGAGTACAATACAGACCTTTGGGGGGCTCATGACGAGGCTGGCAAGAATCTGGCCAGAAATGTTAGAACATAGATTTACAGATGCAACTTTGTATATCTGTTCCCTTATCTCAGGACTAAAGCCAGTCACTTCCATGTAACCTCCTCGCTTTCCACATTCTCCATAGAAGCCTGAAAAGGAGAGGTAAACATAAATCGGATACATGAGTAAATAGGCCATTTATATTTGTACCTAATAATTAATAAAGCCAGGAGGAGGAATGGTGTACCTTTAGAGACAGACTGAAAAGATACCAAAGAAATATCCTTCTCTCCATAACCCATAGAACGGGCAACTTTCTTAAACGAGTGGAACTGTTTGTCGGGCACATAGACATTCTCTTGGTACACCTATCCAATTAACATTGTAAGGGCTTATGATAACAAATTCACACCAATAACTAAAAGAACAATAGGAAGAGACATGAAAAGAGAGAGAGAGAAACTCCAGAACAAATAAAATAGCCACTAGAGTGAAATCTATGCACCTCATCTGCCAGAAGTACAAGACCTTCTTTCTTGCAGAAATCCACAATTTCCTTTTGGTTAGCCTCAGCAAGAACCTGTAAGCGTAAATGACTGATCAGGCTATACTGGAATCGCAGACAAACAATTATATAAGTATAGGAATGCAATAGATGGATATCTGTCTTCTTTATTTCGCCTTCTCTATGTTCGCGGCCTACCTGCCCTGTTGGATTTCCCGGATTTATCACAAC